CTAGAAGTATTTTTCTCTGTTCTCTCATCAGATTCTGGGTTCCTTCTTCTTTGTCACCAATGAAAAAGGGGGGGGGGGAGAAAAGCATTTCACGCAGGCAGCAAGACAAAGCTTTCATTTTGAATTTACACCTCTTGAAGTCTCAGAGGGAAGGAAGACTTGTCGGATAGAGACTTAAATTTCATCTTGGGTATAAGGAGGTGGACAAATAATCTTCTTCCTAGAAGGCTAGTTGTTAGTAAGTAAAGCTTTGAGAATGTGAGTCATCCTGTTGAGAGGTTTTGATAGCAGGGAAATAAGCTTAGCCCAAAGTAATTTTACAGTGGATTAAAATATCCTCCTTGTGGAATCAAAAGCTTCCTTTTGACACGAATTGCACAGTCATTCCAGCTGTGAGGGTTTTCTTCATTTCTGATTTTGATTGATTTTTGAAGTGTGCTATGACAAGGTAATCTGTAGAAAAAGAGAATTGCCCCCACCTCTTATCCTGTAATCCAAAGTGCACACAATTCCCTAATCATTACGGAGAGAGAAATGAGGTATTTTGTTTATTTATGTGCAATATTTATATCCTGGCTTTCTGCCTTACAACGGGCCTTTGAGACGGCTGACAATAAATGAAAACCAACACACAAAGATCAGTTTACTTTTCAAGGATAGTAGTAACTTACAAAGGCTCAGAGGTCTGATGGTTATTCTTTAATATTATTTCCATGCCACCTTTTGGCCAAGAAAGGCCCCAAAGGCATCTCACAAAGGATGAGGGGTGGATTTGTGGGTGTAAAATTTAGAAAATCCTAACACTTTTAAAAATACTAAAATTCATTCATGTTTTGGACAGAAAGCAAAAGAGCAGCCCCCAGAAAGATGTCAGATAAAGCAGGAGTTAATTCATAAAGGGCAGCACCTCCTTGTAAGGGTCCCAGGCAGGGCAGGTGGGGCAGGGCAGGTGGGAAAGGTTCATCTTGATGGTTCCAGCAAAGCCTGTTCTTGCAGATGTTGCTGCTGGTGTGAAGGAACAGGCAGAAGCAGGGAAAGGCAGTGTTTAAATTTTGGAGAATTTGAGGAGGTTCATTCTTACTCCTGTCTTTTCAGGACCTAAGCTAGCCTTGCTATCTTATGTTCTTAGGATTTTCCAGGAAGCATTTAACCTACCATTTCACCACCCTGTGGTTCCATGGATGATGTTGTAACATCCATGTGCATGGTGCGGTAGCTGGGACTTGCAAGTGGAGAGAGTGTGCTTGCACTCAGGTCCTGCATGTGGGCTTCCCATTGGGATATCTGGTCAGCCACTGTGAGAATAATAATAACGACGATGATAATGATGATTTTATTATTTATACCCCACCCATCTGTCTGGGTTTCCCCACCAACTCTGGGTGGTTTACAGCACATATAAAAACATAGCAAAACATCAAACAATAAAAGCTGCCTGATACAGGGCTGCCTTCAGATGTCTTCTAAAAGTTGTGGGCTGCTGGGCCCTTATGTTTTTGTACTTGCCCATCTGAATTTCCACTTTAGCTGATCATTGAGCAGAGCCTCTGAATCTGACCTTAAAGAGATCAGACTGCTTTATATGAGGAAAAAGCAGCTGCATTGAGGTAATCTTGTCCCTGACTTTTGGTCCCATTGGGGAAGGAAGGGCCCTGCAGGAGCAGTTAGGAGACTTGGATAGAAACTGGCTGCCTCTCAAACAAGTCACTTCTTTTACTTTTAGGGCAACTGCTAAGCTTCCGGCTACTTGAGAATTTGAACAATTGTCACTCTTGGTAAACACAAGGGGGCTGGTGTCTTAATTTACACGAACAGCTGATAGCCTTGAATACTGATACTCTCTAGAGCTTAAAAGAGTTTTTGGGAAAGGATGGTCAAGGGGCCATGGATGAAGTCTCTTGAAATAGACTTAAGTCTACCTTTGCATGAAATTTTTGCTCAAGCCCAATAACCCATGCTCAAAACCGTTTTCCAATGGCATTTTGCACCAATAAAACTTTCCTCTATTTCTAAATCAATGTCCTCAGCATTTTGGCATTGCAGGAGCAGTGAAGGACCCCTTTTCCGCCAACCTTCTGGGAGAAAGAGTTTAATGAGATTAACTGAATAACGGCACATAATCTCATCCCTGTACCTACACTAGCGCTTCTCAGTATTTGGGATGAACAAAACAAAGATGGCAAATGCAAAGACCTACGAGGGAGACCTGTTGTTGAGCATTCATCCTAATTTGTTTGCAGGGAGATTAGACAACTGGCTATTTAATGAGGATTCACTCAGATTTGTTTGCGGGTAGGCTAGATGATGTTGCATCAAAGCCCGTGTCATCCCCCCTTTCCCGCACATTTTCCTAAATGGTCTGTAGCCACCATGTCCAAAACATCTGGAGGGCATCAGGTTGGCAAGGGCTGCCATAAAACATCTGCTTCTCATGCTTTCCAAGATCTTCAACAGATCAAAAAACATTTAGTGTTCATAGCGTGCTTGTCCGCACACACAGTCTGAAGCAGCAGAGAAAGCCTTAAAACTTGATCGGACTGAGAATTTCACAGGGAGCATAAGACTTGTGTGAAACAAAGAAAGGGACTGGGTGACAGTGATTTATGAAGGAAGATTAAAATAACTTAATATGTATCGCTTGGCGAAACAGGGAAGGAGGGATGTGATATTCATGCAGAAGGACTTGAGGAGAGTAAACATCAAGGATGGGGAGGGATTGTTTGGAAAGGTGATGTAAAAGGAGTGTAATAACCAGGAGTAATGGGAGGAAATTAATCAAAGGCTGGCTGGAAACAACCCTTTCAGATCAGTGTCAGCAGCAGTCATGTTCAAGAGTCTCTTGTGTAATTAAATAGAACCACAAGAAGCTGCCTTCTACAGTTAGACCATTGGGCCCTCTAGCTCAAGATTCCTTACACTGACTGGCAGCAGCTCTCCAGGGTTTCAGACAGGGGGTCTCTGCTTGTCCTACCTGCAGATGCCAGGGACTGAACCTGGGAACTTCCATATATAAAGCAGGGATGGGGAACCCATGACCTTCCAGAAGCTCCCAACAGCTCCAGCCAGCATGGCCAATGGTCAGGAATGATAAAAGTTGCAGTCCACCAACATCTAGAGAGCCACAGGTTCCCCATTCCTGGTGGAAAGCATGGTTGCAGGCGCTATAGCTGGCAGGTTACACTCCCAGGATTCTGGAATAAAAAAGTGATGGCTGTTTCTGCATGTGTGGAAAACAACAGGGCAGAGATCGTTGCAGAACTTTGCTTCACAGCATACCCACCATTTATGGGGTTAGACTAGATGACCACCAAGGTCCCTTTTAATCCTAAAGCTCTTAAGAGTTGGTTTTAAATGAGACCTATGTTAAATGTACCACCCACAAACTGCTGAATAGTAAATCCTAACCACTGGGGACATATAAAGGCCCTCACAACAATCTTGTGAGGTTGGTTAGACTAAGCAGGGGTAGCCAGCGTAGAGCCTTGGTTCATCCCTTAGTCCAGGGCTAGCCAACATGGTGTCTTCCAGATGTTGCTCATCTCCTGCTTGCATGCTTCCCATAGGCATCTGCATGGCTACTGTGAAAGTAGGATGCTGGACCACATGGGTTTTTAGCCTGTTCTAGCAGGGCTCTTATTATATTCTCACATAGTGGGGTTGACTTACGTCTGGATTTTCAATAGCAGAAGTGACGTCTGGGGGGAATTTCCGGAAAGCAGCAGTTCATCCTGGATTTTCAGTAATATAGCCCACTTCTTGAAATATGGCAACCCTATCACATAGGGACATTTAGCTGATTAAGGGTCTCTCCAGACATCCTTTGTATTGTGCCTTCATTGACAATTTGTGCCAATTAGGATATTGGGGTGGTCATATGCAATCCCACTTTTCATAGTTTTTGCGCCTACAAAAGTTGTGGGGCTGTCGCACTGCTTCACTTCCAATTAGAGCCTCCCAAGTCCCAACTGTTACACACCAAAAATGTTATGCTTTTGCTGCACTATATGCTTTTCTTGCATTATAGACCCTCCAGAGAACAATGGTGTGGTAGAACTGGGGAAGCATTGCAGAACAAACCAATAAAGTCAAATGATGTGCAGATGGCCCAGTGTAAATCCACCATTAATGGACTATTGTTGCATCAAGAACATGCTGCATAAAAACAGCTACCAAAAAATACCAGTCTGGAGGGGCCTTAAGCGTTTTTTCTCTGAAGCAAATGCACACCACATAATACTCCGCTCTGACCAGTAGGAGTCAGTCTTTACTAAAAAATAATCTAAATACCCCCTTCACAGGTCCTTCCCACTGTGCTGCTTTAACGAACTACTGAAAAGTTGTAATTGTTTGAATTTTTATTTAGTTTTTTAAAATAAATTTTTTAAAAAACCCAATCTCCCACCTTCTCCCTTCATTGGGGCCAAAAAGGTTGCAAGCCCTTGCTGTGCACACGTACTTGGGAGTAAGCCCCCTTGAGCATCAGTAAGGCTTACTTCCGAGTAGCAGACGTGCATACGATTGCATTATAGTCCTATGCACTATACATACTGACAGCAACCTTATACCGGTAATTCCCCAAGCGGGGATCCTTGGGTTGCCAAAACGGCCCACACACAAGGCGTGGTATTGACAGAGGAATAATAGGAAGTAATACTGTTGGGCAGACGGACCTACGCACGTTTGCTATGCATAACCATTAATAGAAGTACAGTACTGTAATAATGATGATTCCCCCCGCCCCTTTGTACATCTCCTATGAGGGAGGACGATTGGTTTCACCTGGAGCCCATTTAACTCTCCATAAACCAACATTGCTGCTATTATTATTATTATTCTTCGGAGAAGTAGCGAGGCAACAACGCACGCCAGGAGGCATTGCAGTCTGTGGGCCGAGCGGGCCGCGGCTCTGCCTCTCTGGCGCCTCCTCAGCCAGGCGAGGCTACGCGAGGCGGGAGCGAGCCAGGGAAACGGGGCCTCGGAAGCGGCCGTGGCGGCGGGCGATGGCCGGGGGAGAAGAGGGGCGCCCCAGGCCCCCCGAGGCCTCGCCGCCCCGCGCTCCGCCAGAAACGGCGCCCGGCGAGGCCGAGCGCGAGGCCGGCGGTGGGAGTTCCCGGCGCCTTCCTCCGCCGCGTTTGCCCCGGCTGGGCCTGGCCTTGGCGCTGGTGGCGGCCCTGCTGGCCGCGAAGTACTATCGGGACTCGGAGGTGGCCCGGCGGCAGGTACCGGCGGAGGGAGCCTCGCCGCAGGGGACGGAGAAATCTTTGCGAGGCGCCTGCGGGGAGGGATGCTGGAAGTCGGGGCAGCGAAGGGGAGAATGAGTGGGGTCGGGGCTGGTCTCGTGCGGCTAAGAAGTTGGCGGGCAAAAAACAGCATTTTGGGGGTGCCTTTTGTTTTGCATTTGGGGAGCCTTTTTGTTTTGCAATCTGTGTATAGTGTAGCCCCAGAGTTGCCTGTTCAGAAAGGAAGCATCGTGACTTCCAAGTAAAGTGTGTATCGCATTGCAACTTCACAGTGCCGTCCTCTCCCAAGTCCCGTGTGGGATTTTTCAGCGGGATATACCACTGAATAGGCCGGTAGCCCGAGGTTTGCAATCGTGCGCGCGTGTGCTTGGGAGCAAGTCCGCTTGAATCCCACGGGGCTCACTTCTGCGTAGACGTGCATACGCTTGCACTGTAAATATACCTGGCGTAGCTTTTAATGAATGTAGGCAATTAACAGCCACAGGGATGGGATCGCCGTCATTGCGCATCTTCCCTAACACTAGTCATCCATTGAAGCACAATGGTGGGAGAGTCACAGGCACAAATTTATTCATCCCGTACAATCCAGATGTTGAACTACAACTCCCACCAACCCAAGCCAGCCGATATGGAGGCTGGTAGAAGCTGATGGGAGTTGTAGTCGAACAACATGATATGGGAACAAAATAAAAACATTCCTTCCATTAGCTCCGGCACTTCCCACTTGGAAATACTTAAATCTAGTTCTGCATCACACACCAGTAGCACCTTAACATAGTATGGGGTGCACCACAATATCTGCTCCTGTGGTACATAGTTAAACTATGGGATTTGTTGCCACAAGATGTGATGATGGCTACAGACTTAGATGATGTTAACAGGGTGTGTGTGATATGTTCATGAACGGTCTGTTGTGGTTATTAGCTACCTAAAAACGTCTGTGTTTGTAGGCATTATATATCTGAACACCAGTTGCTGGGACGGGGGCTGTCTTGTCATGGTTGTGGGCTTCCTAGAGTATCTGGTGTGTGATGCAGAACTAGATTTAAGTATTTCCAAGTGGGAAGTGCCAGGCGCTGCCTAGGAATTTGAGGAAAACAGAAGTCCTTTGGAGGTTTTTAAGCAGGGGTTGGATGGCCATCTGACATGGATGCTTCAGTTGAGATTCCTGCATTGCAGAGGGTTGGACTAGATGACCCTTGGAGTCCCTTTCAACTCCACAATTCTATGATCTCCAGTGCCAGAGGCAACATGCCTCTGAGACTGTGTGCACAGCATACTTCAAAGCACATTTAAAGTGCGCACACGCTACAAGAATCCTGGGAACTGAAGGATGCTTGAAAATGCTGCTCTTTTGCGTAAACTACAGTTAACAGGATTCTTTTTGGGTGGGTGGGTGCTTCAGAAGTGCTTTAAATATGAGTTACTGGGGAATGACAGTGAGAGAGGGCTATGGTGCTCATGTCCTGCACAAGGGCTTCCCATAGACACCTGGGATGGTCACTGTGGGAACTGAATGCTTCACTAGATGGGCTCTTAGTCTAGTGCTACAGAGCTTTTCCTGAGTGAGGATATCCCATAATTCTTCTTGACAGATAAGCCCTGTTTTTAAGTGAACAGGCAAACATTACTCGTGGTTCTTTTCCTCAATACTTTGAATGAGGTACACCTAGCAAGCTTTTTTTGTAGACTGTGGTACCCTAATTGCTGTCCTGTTTGTTTATGTGCAAGCTGAGAAGTCAAGTTTACTCCTTACCTGTCGATCGTATTGGGCATGCCTTTATTACAAATCTAAACTGTTTTTATCAGTCTCCTCCTGGCCGCTCCCCACAAACTCTTAGGGAGTTCTGAGAGGGTGCTTGGGATCTTTATCAAATGATAAATCCCAGGATTATTTGCAGGAGACCGTGATGCTGTTATAAATAAGCCAATGTATTTTCCATATAGATGAATCCAGAGAGTGTGGCCACTTGCTCTGTCAGTAGGGAGAATAGCCGCCAGAGCAAGAAATGTACTTACAGAGGAGAATAGAGATTTTCAGCTTCTGCAAGAGCTGCTGTATTCTTTGATGTTTGGCAGTGCAGTCTGGGAGAAGAGAGAGGGTGTTTCTCTCAGCTCCAGGCTTCCTTTCCCATGCTTTTCTTTTGTTTCCTTCCTATGAGCAGAAGCAATGTGGTATCAAGGCCAGCTCTAGGTTTTGGGCGGTCCCTTTGGCAAGATGCTCAGTTGGTTAGAGTGTGGTGCTGATAACACCAAGGTTCCAAGTTCAATCCCTGTATAGAGAGCTGCATATTCCTGCATTGCAGAGGGTTGGACTAGATGATTCTCAGGGTCCCTTCCAACTCTACAATTCTATGATCCTCTACAATCTCTATGACCCTTTTCCTTAGAGAGTGGGCCCATCACCTCCTTGCCACTATCATAAGAACATAACATACATAAGTGTCAGGAGTTCAGCCTACACTCGAGTAGGACCCTGGCAGAGACACATGCCCAACTGGCATGTTCTCTCCCTCCTGGTCGATTGTTCAGGAGCTTCAAAAGCTTTCTTCTGCCCAAACATCACAGCAACCGATGCCAACTGACACCTGCACACTTAGGGATCCGCAGAGTTTGCGCAACTTGCGTAACAGACCTCAGCAACTCAGCATTTTGGCTAATTACTTTATTTACATATAAACACACGTGGAGCACTGCAACATGGCTCCCTCTCTCTCTAGCATCAGACATCAAAGAGGGGAAAAACAAAGGACAATAGTCCCACTTCACGGAACACAGTAACACAAACATCCTGTCTCCATCACTTTCCACTCTGTGGAGTCAAAACATATACCATCATGTGAAAGACAACAATCCCATGACTGCAGTCATGGAGCAGGAATTCTAACAATAAGAAGAGCCCTGCTGGATCAGGTCAAAGCCCATTCTGGACCAATAACGTGTTCTCACAGTGGCCAACCAGATGCCTGTGGGACCTGGACACAAGAGCACTCTACCCTCCAGCTTTTTCCAGCCATTGGTATTCAGAAGTATCGCTGCCAGTGCCTACAACTGTGTTGTGTAGGCAGAGTATAGTCATCATGGCTAGGAGCCTTTGATAGTCTTCTACTCCATGAATTTGTCTAATCTTTTAAAGCCACCCACATTGGTGGTCATCGTTGCTCCTTGTGGGAGCATATTGCATCCTTTAACTATGGGCTGCTTGAAGAAGTCTTCCTTTTGTCTGTCTTGAATCTTCCAACATTGGATGTCCATGAGATCTAGTGTTAGAAGAGGGGGGGGGACCCCTTCTTTCTATCCACTTTCTCCATGTGATGCATAATTTTATATACTTCTACACATCACCACTGACCACGAAGTGCACCTGACAATAGCCTTGACCCACTGCCAGAGATGTCCTTGCCCCTGGTACCTAGTGGCGTCTGGGCCCTCTGCTAGGCTTTCAGCTCCAACTTGGGCTTCCAGCTTCTTCTGAATCCAGGCTTTGTGTCCCTTGCCAGCTTGTCTTTGCTTTTTGTCTGCTTGGTGCAGCCCTGGATCTGCCCTACAAGACACTTGAGTGAATTCCTGACGGTAATTGACAAGAGCAGCACCTTCCAGGCAGCATTAGCATCCTTTTAGGCTGGCAGGCGGCAGATGGAAAATAAACGGGTTTGGGAGCTGTGGGAACACTAATGGTGTCACAGGCAGCACAGAATCACTGCAGCTTGAACTGCGGAGAGAAGGAGACTCGTTGCACTGGGAGGAGAAGACTCCTTGCCTGCAGGGAAGAGAGCAGAGTAGCCAGCGGAAATGCAACTTGTATGAATCCACCCAAGGCTGTGCCTCATCAGCCTAGAAATGGGCTTGCTGGTGTTGGCAGCCCCCCCCCCCCATTTGCTATATGTAAGGGATTGGCCTGAGTCTCTAATATCCTTAAAACAGACTAAATGAAGCAAAATTTTGCGCCACCGCAATAGGAGTGAGCTTAGCTTGAAAGAATGCAATGAGAAGTTCACCCTGATCTGGCTTATGGAAGCTGGAGCAAGAAAGTTAGCTGTGACTATTATTTAATACTTTACAGTCGTGGACAACTCTGGGGTTGCACGCTCATCTCACTCTATAGGCCGAGGTAGCCAGCATTTGTCCGCAGACAGCTTCCGAGTCATGACTAAGCTGCTTCTGGCAAACCAGAACAGCGCATGGAAACGCCGTTTACCTTCCCACCAGAGCGGTACCTATTTAACTACTTGCACTTTGACATGCTTTCGAACTGCTAGGTGGGCTGGAGCTGGGACCAAACCGGCAAGCCCTAGGCTCTGTGGTTTAGACCACAGCGCCACCTGCATCCTTGCCTTAGCATACCTTAATTTGCTGTTCAAAGAGTGAAGAAGCTAGGAGGGCTGCCCGTAGAGGCTTTTCTGCAGCAGAAAGTCCAAATAGCGGCTTCCAGGTACGCACTCTCATTGACATATGGCACAAGGCCGGGATTGTGGCCCAGGTGCGAAATCAACCCACCTCCTTTAACGGCACCACCTCGCCTTGCATCATTGCAGGGCTCCCTCTAGAATGAGGGTGGGGGACCTCAGTGCTAGGGATCAAATGCAACCTTCCAGGCCTCACCACCTGACCTTTAAGACTCTCCCCAGCCCTGCTTTGCACCCGTTTGGAGCGTTTTTGCCTTTGCAGGAATGTGTCCTTGGATTGCAATACAGTGGTACCTTGGTTTACAACCGTAATCCATTCCGGAGGTCCGGTTGTAAACCAAAACAGGTTGTAATCCAAGGTGCGCCAATGAGGCCTCCCCCAAAAATGGGTTGTAATCCAAAAAAGGGACACGCACTTCCGGGTTTGACATGGTTGTAATCCAAAACAGTTGTAATATAAAGCGCTTGCAAACCAAGGTACCACTGTAATGCCTATTGCTTCCTGGATGGAGGCTAGAGATTGGTGTGTGAGAGTGTGGTGTAGAAACCAACCTACTGTACAAAGGTAAAATTTGCAGTCAGTGCTCCACCCATTTTTGCATTTGGCCCACCCACTGGAAGGCTGCCCAGAAGGGAATGCAACGCTTGAACTGGGAAAGGTTCCCCCTACCCCTACTCTGGAATTTAAGGCTCTCTGGGTACTCCTCTTCCTCTGAGAGCTTAGCTGGCAGCACTGAAACATGTAAGGCTGGGTTTCCTGGATTGCTGGCTTCACTGTTACTTCAGATCGCATGCATCGTCACGTGCTCCAGCTGCTCCCAACTCCCTCACTTCTGTGACTTTAGACAGTCATGTTTTATTGCCATACAGGAATTGCCGCTCTGCTGTCAGCGCCACTTGGAAACCCAAGTAGCCTGAAGTGGTCTCAATATCCACCCAAACTACTGCACTTTTCACATTCACAGTGTGTCCATAGCCTTAATTTGGATTTGGAGCTGCTTCCTGGTGTGTTTCGGAACGTGAAATGTGACTGTAACCTTTACGGTTCATGCACGGGGTTGGTTATATAAGTCCATGCTATCAGAGGAGTACAGATCAAGCTCCACGGTTCACTGGCCAGCGCTGAGCCAAACAAAAATATCTGCAGGTCTGCCAGCTACCTGTGGACAATTCCCTGACAGTTCGGGTGAGTCTGATGTGATTTCCATGGCAGGGATGCTCCTTGACTAACAAACGGGGTGTGGATTATTTAGGTAGGTTTTCCTTAAGGAAAAAGAAAGAAAAGACTTTCATATTTTTCTTCTTGCAAAATCAAATGTGATTCATGTGTGCCAGTATGGGTCCCAACCATGCAGGGAGACCAATCCATACTCCAAAGCGAGTCTAACTAAGCAGTGAAGAATGTAAGGAAGTCTCTGCTGGATTCAACCAAGGCCCTATCTAGACCTTTTCTCCAGAGAGAGAGAGAAGGGAAGCAGAACCACTCCACCAAGTCTCAGCTCTTGCCTGTCCTTGAATTGTTTCCACGTAATCCAGGAGTAGCCAGTGTGGCACCCTCAAGATGTTTCTGGATTCCAGCTCCCATCATCCATGACTTTTAGCAGTGCTGGCTGGGGCTGATGGGAACTAGAGTCCAACAACATCTGTTCTGTTCAAAATTGGGGGCCACCCTCCTCCAACCTTTAAAGTTAAAAGCCAACTTGTGAGATCTGATCACTGATCTCTTGCATCTCCTCTGTTTGGAACCTCAGCCCACTTAATATAGCCAGCGAAGCATTCTCCTGCCTCCCAAAAGACATGTCAGAGATATCGGGTAGTTTCACAGGTGCCAGAGCAGATTTGTGGTTCTCTAAGCTCAGGTTATAAGTTAAATTGAAATATTTTAATTTAAATTGAATTAATTTAATTTGAATGGCTTCTGAATTATATATGCTAAACTATTAATTTTATTGTATATTTTATATTCATTGTTTCAAATTATATGTCTCCTGCCCCCCCCCAGGATAGAAGTTCTTATTTTAATTCTACACAGAGCCATGTAAATAAATGTACGTATTATTATTTCAGGCTGTACGCCTAATTCCAATTACCTGGTAGTAAGATCCATTGAATTCAGCAGGACCTACTTATGAGTAGACATGGTTAGGCTTGCATTGTAACTTGTGCATATCAACACCTCTCTTATTTCCCAAACAGGAGACAGCCCTGAAATCTTTGGGAAATGAAGGTCTTTTCCTGTTTGCATCCCTGGATACAAACAATGACCTGTACATCAGTCCTGAGGAGTTCAAGCCAATTGCAGAGAAGCTAACTGGTAGGCATCTAATTTTTTTAATAGACAAATAAATGTTCATCTTGCTTTTTTAAAAAAACACAAACCAAAATCATGGCCCTTGAGCACAAATTGTCTAGTTCTTGCGTTGGGTTTGTCACTCATTCATTGTCTGCTTAATCCCCGGAGGAGAGGACAACGACATTCCAGCCATTTTTTTCCAGCTGGAAAACTGAAGTGATAATCCAGACCAGGCTTTCCCAACCTGGTCCCTTCTGGCTATTTTGGACTACAGTGCCCATCAGCGCTATCTGGCACAGTTGTGTCAGCTGGGGCTGATGGGAATTTTAGTTCAAAATAGCCAGATGCCAATAGGTTAGTAAAAGCATTTGAAACTATCTCATTCTCTTGTTACCACTGGTTCCCTAGGCAGGCGTGGAACTGCTGTTATAGGTTTCCCAGTGCTGGTGAAATTGGGTTCGAAATCAAAGCACCCCAGGGGAAGAGGGTGAACCTTCCAGAGATAGGGCACATCCAGTGGTGGTTCCAACAGCAAAAGAGCAGCAAACATCTAGTGAAAATGAACAGTTAGTAAGAGTTATGCATGGGTAAAATTCTATTTTATTTTTACTTTTAAGAAACATTCTTAACCTGTGCTATCGCTACGTGGTCCCCAAGGCAGCTTGCAACTCGTCACGTACAGCGATGGTGTCATAAAAATGCAAAACAATTAACATATAAGATAGATGAAAAATCCCAAGCACAGGATCATAAAACCCTGCGCAGCGGGGGACAGCATAAAACAGAATTGCTCATTAATTTCTCATCATTAAAAGCCCAGGCAAAAAGGAACAGATCTTTGCCAGGGACCTAAATGCCACTAAAATGCGTGCATTTTAAAGGTCAGCCTTAAATATGTGCCTTTCACAGTATATATATGTCAGGATCCCATCTGACCCATGACCTTTCCTCCAGAAGAGGCTTGGGACTCTGCAGAGAACCCCACTGCAGCTGAGCAGCTGGAGGAACTTGCAATAGTCCCAAGGCAGACTGAACGGTCCCATCTTGCTTGGGCTACCCCAGTCACCTCTTCTCACCACATCCTAAGCCCCTCCTTGGTCCCCAATTTCCCCCTTTGATTTTGAGCTAAAATGTCATTGCAGGGGGATCATGGATGTCACGCAGGTACGTCTTCCCGTCTTGAGTCTCATTCAACACCATTTCCTCTTCTGGCTGCTGTTCCTTCTATGTTGGTCACATAAGGGAGCCATCCCAATCGGCAACCCTTTCTTAAACAAGATGATGTTACTTACGGTAGCCTATCCAATATGCCGTGTGATGACACCACTGAAAACAATAGATAAATAAGTCAACATTTGGGGGAAAAGGAATGCCAAAAGTCACCAAGAAGGGGAGGTTGTTTTTCTTTTTGGGAACCAATGGAACTATTTTTTTAAAAAAACAGTATCTTTAGCTAAGTTCTGCTTTCATTGTGTGTGAGTACCATAGTACTATTTGCATGGCTTAGGCAGCAATCCTATGTACGCTGAGCTTGGAAGAAGCCTCGCTGAGCTGGGTCTAACTTCTGAGTAGAAATGCATAGGCTTGCACTGTTAAGCAGCATAATCTAAAGGGACTCCCAATGTCCAGGAAGCATTGATGACTACCTGAAAGCATCTGCTGATAGCAACGCAGTAGCCATTCCATGTTTCTTCTGGAGCAGCTGCTCAGGGACCTCCTAGCAACCCGTGCAGCTCCATTAAGCACCAAGAGCAGCCAGGTGACCCAAATGAGTTTCAGGTCTTTGCAGAGATTGTTTTGAAAAGTGTGCCATCCTGAAGCCCCCTTGGGCGTGCAAATGACCTGCCTCTTGGTGTTTTCTTGGGAAAACAAACATCATAAGCATATAAAAACTGGAGATCTCTTGGCGGGTGAGTGGGGTGGGTGTTAGCTGCCCATAGCACACAACTGCTCTTGCCTTAATTCTCTTTGCTCAAGCCCTAGACTGATTTACACAACGAAAGGCTGCTAAGCTTTCTGTGTTTTTCGAAAGGCTTATGCACCAGACGCCTCTTTCACAAAGGGCAATTTTTCTAAATCTGCGGTTCCTATTGTCGGACTTGCAGAACTGCACGCGTTGGCTTTGTCTGGGGCTTAAAGGGGATTCAGAGCAGCTGAATGCAAGAGATACTGCTCTGCAGTAATGTGACCAGAGAGCTGGCGGGTGGCGAGACGCAAGCAATCTCGGGAATCTTTTTGCATACAGAAATTGCGGCGCTTCCACCTGCTGGTTACTTGTGGGCTTGATGACGCTCGCTTGGGTAGCCCGCCCGATTGCTCTCACAGCCAGCGCAGAGGGGAGCGGGATTCAGGCAGCCCTTGTTTCCTGCCCATCTGCAGAGCAGATAAAGGGGATTGTGACACCGGTGTGGGTTCTGCAGTCCTCACAGCTGGCTGCCTATTGTGCTTGCAAGAGCACGAACATTTCTGCCCCTGCGCTGTCGTGTCAGACAAAGAGCAGAAACAGTGGCTCTGTGGACATGACCCAACACAGCAGCGACCAGTTTAGTCATCCTGGGAGATCAGGCTCTTCCCAGCCAAACTCCTCAGGGGCTGGCACCACAGTGTTTGCCCCCTCCCCAGGCTGAAAAACTTAGCCGCCAGGTACAGAGTGGTTCCTCCTGCTTGCAGCCTGGGATAGGGAAAGTGGCTGCCTGGAATTAGAGTACAGACTGTATGCTTGCCCACAGATCTCTCCTTGCCAGTCACAGCCTTGACATGCCCACTTGGGGAATGTAGCAGATCGGCAGTGCTCTCACAGAAACGGTGTGTGCTGTTGCACACTCAAGCTGAGAACATGCACAAGAAATGAAAGAGCCTTGTTCAAAGCAGAATGCAAAGGAGTTGCTGGCGGTCTGTTGGTGCCCCCTGCTGCACGGAGATAGAACTGCTCAGCTGGATGCTTTGTTTTGCTCTTCATCCTTCCCAGCCTTAGGGCCAACGATACACCTTAGTAGTAGGAATGTGGGCCGAGCGTGTTTGGGTTTAGTTGTGCTTGTGGTGAAGTGAAAGCATGATACCTTCATGAAGATGTGTTGGTTGCATCGTCTTGCAAACTAGGCATGCAGGCAAGCATTGGTGCAACCCCCACGAACCCCCACCGGTTCAGCCTGTGTCTTCAGCATGTCTCTGTCATCATATAACACAGCAAAACTACCACCCATCTTCTCACAGTCTTTCAATGGCCAGTCGTTCTAGAGTGCAGCAGGGGCAGGGGGAGAGTAAGGCTGTTTATATTGTTCTCCCTAGCCTAGCTGCCATCCAGTCCCTTCCCTCTTGGACTCCAGACAGCTGCTACCACCATCTGGGTGAGAGGCAAAGAAAGCAAGGCCCTTCCGTTGACCTGTCTTGACAACTATTCACCCTGGTTTCCACCAGCTGATTCTCCTTCATAGGACATAAGAAGACCCCTGCTGGATGGGGCCAATGGCCCATCCGTTCCAGCATCCTGTTCTCACAGTGGCCAACCAGGTGTCTCCATGGGAAGCCCTCCAGCAGGACCTGAATGTATCTGCAACTCTCCCCCTTGTGAGCCTCAATAGAAGGCATACAGAGGAGGTAGTTTGTAGCCGTTGTGGCTAGTAGCCATTAGCATTACCCTCTGTGAATTTGACTGATTCTCTTTTGAAGTCATCCAAGCAGGTGGCCCCCATCAGTGCATCTCAGGGAAGAAAATTCCACAGTTTAAGTAAGCGCTGTGTTTGTCTGTCCTGAATCTTCCAGCATCTGGCTTCATTGGCTAGTTCTGAGAGCTAGAATTATGAGAGAGGAACCTTCCTGCCTTTTACAGTGGTACCTCGGGTTACAGATGCTTCAGGTTCCATACGCTTCAGGTTACAGACTCCGCTAACCCAGAAATAGTACCTCAGGTTAAGAACTTGGCTTTAGGATGAGAACAGAAATCACATGATGGTGGCGCAGCAGCAGCTGGAGGCCCCATTAGTTAAAGTGGTGCTTCAGGTTAAGAACAGTTTCAGGTTAAGAACAGACCTCCAGAATGAGTTAAGTTCTTAACCCGAGGTACCACTGTATTTTGCTTTTACTTTCTTTTCTTTCCTCCCTAAAGTGTATTTTATTTACCTTTTAGCAGGGCCTATGTGGTTTCTAGTTGTTGTACAATGTTTCACAATTTTTTGTGCTTTATAAATAGATGCATACATGAATTCAGCTTCTCAGGCAGAGCTTCTCAGTGTTTGCTATCTGACTCCATTGGGGATAGCACAGAAAAGGCAGTGCAGGGGAAATTACAGCTTTCTGCAGGACCAAGAGTATATCTGAATGCGTAGAGCTGGGATAAGAGACAGAGGAAGTAAGATTATATTTTTATTGAGCCCATTTCTTTCCGGAATGCTTCATTCCAATTTGCATGGTCGTAAAGGGTGCTGTAATAATAATAATTATAATAATAAATTCGTCTTATTGCTATCATTATAGAGTTATAGAAAAACCAAGCTGGTTCATATCACAGTGAAATGAAAACAGTGCAGGAGGCATACAGACTGGTAGGGGATATGTAGACTTAAATGCGCTGAAAGTTTGAATATATATGGAAGACTCTTGGTTTAATTTATTTCATACAATTTATATACCGTTTGATTATAAAAATAAAAAACCTCAAGGAAGTATACAGAAAGACTAAAGCAATAAAATTGCTAGTAAAAACAATTACTGCACAACAGTTGCTGAAAACGCTTAGAAATTTGAAACTTGCAATAAATTAAGAAACTCATCAGCATTCTAGATACCTGGGTAGGCTCCTCTAAACAAAAATGTTTTTAGCAGGGCCCTAAAAGAGTAAAGTGAAGATGACCAGCCTGATATCATTTGACAGGGAGTTCCAAAGTGTGGGTTCTGCCACAATGAAATATCGATTTCTTACAAATGAGAAAAGAGTATTATATAGCACCTGCAGCAGTGCCAGTTCTGAAAATTGAAGTAGCCAAATGGGCATACAAGGGGCAAGGAGATCTCACAGGTAAGGCAGTGCCAGGTTTAAAGTAACACTGGGTTTTTAAAAGTTGTGCAAAAATTTTGTATAGCTTTTTCTTATTTGCATATCTATTTAAATTAATATAGTAACTGTATTTTCATAGCAGTGGTATGCATACAAATGAATGGATTTAATTAATTTTTTAAAAAAAATAATTTTTATTAACCGACCAATCAAATCAAATCAAATCAAATCACATCACATAAATTCCGAATTACAAAGCCGAATTTTAAATTTTTGTTGAGGGGACCCATATTTCAAGTTTCGAAGGGGGATTCCGATCATCTTCTTGCTACTGCGTTCATATCCAAATCAGTCCAAATAAAGTTCATAATTCTATCCAGTCTTATCTTGCTGTTTCCACATCTCATCTTATTCGTACATTTTTTCTTTTCCTTTCTTGATCTCTTCTGATAATCTCCTTAAGCAGATAAACACCAATTATATCCTGTGTGGATTTTTCGACCAATCCTCATATCATGATGGTTTCCATATATCATCACTTTCATAAATAACATCGCTCTTTCCATCATTAATCTCAGGATCTGTTGTTTTTGAGTCCCACTGAGGAGTCTCACCCACAGTATAGAAACAGCTCTTTTCCTCCTCCCAGACTCAAGTCCTCTGACAGAGCTTACCAATATGGCGACGGTATTTTTAACTGCGTCATTCCAGAGCTCTTAAACTTTCCACGCTCTTCTTAAAACATGCTTTGGTTAGAAAAATTATCTCCACACAGACGTAAATCCACAGCTTAAGTCATTAAAGCAGCATTTCTGACCTGTGGGGGGGGGGAGTTCTTGTTTTATCACATAGAGGAAAGAAAGAAAGGTTTATTTCCCCTCCCCCATCAGTCCTTTTGCCATACCGAGTCTTAGCTGTCTTCTCATGATTGATTCTTGTTCCTCCGACTCTTCTTGTTTATCAGAGAACTCTTCAGTTAGCAGTCTTTACTCCCCCCTCCTTCCTTGAAATATGTGCATTCGCTTCTTCCTAATTGTTCCTTTTGAAGTTCTTGCAGCTAGAGACAGCATCCAGGAGCGCCGAGGTCCACAGGGGGGCATTCTGCCTAGTGCCCCCATCCCCTCAAATTCGGGGGTGGTATAGGGCACAGCAGGCACGGGCAGCCCCCCCTCACAATCCTGGGGGGGTAGGGAGGCTATTTACTCCCATCACAGCCTCCTAATTACCCCCTGTGGGTCGGAGAGATGTTATTGTCAGCCATCTTCCGATGCGCCCCTAGTGGCCCCTCGGATTTAATTAATTTTTATGCTGTACAGTGGTACCTCTGGTTACGTACTTAATTCGTTCCAGAGGTCCATTCTTAACCTGAAACTGTTCTTAACCTGAAGCACCACTTTAGCTAATGGGGCCTCCCGCTACCGCTGCGCAATTTCTGTTCTCATCCTGAAGCAAAGATCTTAACCCGAGGTACTATTTCTGGGTTAGCGTATGTAACCTGAAGCGTATGTAACCCGAGGTACCACTGTAGTTTTCTAAGCAATCATTAATATTAAGAATATATAATGATTTTAAGTCACAAGCTGCAGTATAATAATCCACATGAAAACTGTTATATGCATTGGGGGGAAATAGTATTTTATTTCAGTAATTTAAATAGTGGAACTTGCAGTTTTCAATGCAATAAGTTGCAGCATTTGTAACAGGAACTATAATAGATTCACTGTGGCAGGGTGTTTTTTTCTTAATGTAATTCGGATGGTTACTTCTTCAATTGGATTTGTAGGTCACCGATAACGTTACGTTAATAATAACACTATGGATGGATCTAGACACATCAAAGAAGCGTTTCATTTAAACATGTTGCAAACTTTGTATGAGAAATCGGGTTGGCAAAAACAGAACTCCACAGCGCCATCTGGTGTCACAGCGTTATAATGCATATACAACGCAAATAAAGCACTTTTTCTTTGCCAATGTAGCTGAGTCCTATGTTAATGAAATGCATACATAAATCTTGTAACCCTTGATCTGTTTTCAGGCATCGCTCCAGTAACTGGGATTGAGGAAGAAGAGATATTGGATCCCAATGGGGAGACTCTTTCTGTCATTGCAAAATTCCAGCCCTTGCTTATGGACACAATGACAAAGAGCAAAGACGGTTTCCTTGGAGTGAGTATGACATTTAGTTAGCGCTGCAAGTTTTAATCAGTAGATCAATCAACTAGAAGCATTAGTGGATTGATACGAAGGCTGGTCCAGTTTTAACCATCAGGTCAATGAATTAAATGTGTGCTTGTTTTTCTTTTGCTCCAATTATATTGCTGTAACTGGGAACGCAAAATAAAGTGCTAGGCAGTCTTTCCTTCTAGTAATAGCTTTGTTCAGACATTGCACCAAACCGTGGTTAAGAAAGCTTAATATGGAGTAATAGTGTAATATCTGAATGTCTTGTGGTCCGTCAGCCTCCTAAAGTGGAAGAGGCTTCACAGGGCTGCTTCCTAACGTGTCTCTCTGCCTCTGCAGATTTCTCACATTGCGCTTTCTGGGCTTCGCAATTGGACGGCTCCGGCTTCCCTCTGAGCTTGATGTTCGCCCAGCAATTCAAGGCCTTCCTTCCGCCAAAGAATAAACTGGAACTTGCTGATCCTTGGTGGGTGATTCCCAGTGAGCTGAACATCTTTACTGGGTACCTTCCCAACAACCGTTTCTACCCTCCGGCCCCCAAGGGGAAAGAGGTAGGCGAAGTGTTCATCATTGCTATCAATTGGAAGGCTAGAGAGTAGTAACGATGGATCATGTTTTGAATGTTCAGAGTGCTTCATAGACGGCCTCCTTGCAATCCCATCTAAATCTTTATTGCTTGGCCAAAAGCCATCTGCAGCTATAAGATATAGCATGGTAAAAAGTGGGACACCACTCAGCTATGGTGAAGACACAGACTAGTAAGAGAGCCCATTACTATATTCAAAGTAGATATTCGTACGTACACGTAACTCTCAACTTTCACACATTTAACTTGTGCACATTCAGTTTTAGGTGCTTGGCAATAAAATAAAATAAAATAAAATAGAAGTGGGGTGGAAAGGGGGCAGACAGCAATCCCACCTGCCACTGAATCCAATGTGCTTTGATTATATGCGATTTTGGCTTTATGCGCTGTCCCCCAAATGTAACCCCAGCATCACCTGTGCACTGATCTACTTAACAGAACTGCTGTATCCCTAGTTTGATGCTTGAGGACATGGATTCTGATAACAGCCTCTACTTCTTGGGGGCTCATATTAGTGCTTGCTGGCATTTGGATAACAGCGTCATGCAGACACTGAAAAATGTGAGCAGCGCTGATTCCTCAATAGACACCCTTTTGGGAGCACCCCAGATGCGCAGGGTGGTTCACTCAATTCTAGCACGTGGCATGAGAGGAATTGGTGAAGGGACCTTCCTTGCATGTGATATTTTGAGTTCAGTGGCATCTGAACAACACAGAACAGTGAAAACATCAGATCCGTTTCCAGTCCTTGGCTGCCATGTTCTGGAAAGATGGAGTATGGCATGTTAAAGCTCACTAACAGCAATATTCAGAATGCTGGAGGCTATAAAGAGGCTAAGAAAACAGAGAAGGTGACCTTCCGTAGTCAGGTGTGGTTATTGAACGTGGCCTTGAAGGGGAGTAGTTTTGGGGTCTTAGGTTCACTGGCTGCAACCTGCTGTAATCCCCTGTACTTTCTCCCCCAACATAGGTCATCATCCACAAACTCTTGAGTATGTTCCACCCCCGGCCGTTTGTGAAAACTCGGTTTGCCCCTCAAGGAGCCGTGGCCTGCATCCAAGCTGTTGCCGAGTTCTACTATAAGATAGCCTTCAGGTAAAGTTGCGTAAGGGGAGGGCGCTTGCGGTTAGACCGGTTGAGTAAATGTTACCTTCGCATAACCTTTGCCATTTCCCCTGCCCCATTTTCCTTTTCTGCCGTTTCTTCTATGCTGTGGGCCTGCAGGCAGGGACTGCTTTTATTTAATTGACTGTATGTAAACCACTCTGGGAGTCTTTTTGGCCAGGGTACAAATGCTCATAAATACATGAACTGTTCTTCCTTGATCTGCTTTCCTTGCATTGGTATGGGCCACATTTGTACATCTGCTTCCCTCTGCATAGATACTGGCTTGCTTCACTCCTCCTTGCTCATGCTGGGAGAAACAAACCATGTTCCGTGTCCAAACCAGGGTTCATGGGTTGTTTCACTCCAACACACCACAAGGGCTAGCTTATTGTCCTGGTTTATTTGTAGTGCAAATCCCAGGAATCATGGGCTATTTCTCCCTAGCATGGGGAGGAGTGAAGCAGGACATTCAACTCATGCACAGTAAACCATGGTTTAGAGCTTACTCACAGTGACGTGCTATAGCTGCCGATAAGCAATATCATAGGAGTTGCATGGACCTGTTGGAAAACAAGCCTTCTTCGGAGGAAGCTGGCAACTCTTCCAGGCTCCCGGCTTGGTCTCCGGTGACCTCCCTGGCTGCAATCCCCGCAGGATCCAGGCTAGGTCTCGATAGGCGATACTTCCCAGCGTGGGAAGTACACACCCACTCCCTCCCGCTTCCCTAGCAGGGAAAGGAGATAGACAGAAACGTCTATTTACATGATTTTATTTTGACTTTTCAGCACTACAGAAAACATGTTTGTTCACTTCAGACTCCTTCCAGCAAGTGAGAAAGACTTCCTGTACATACGCAAGAGGAAGGTCTCAAATTACACTCTGAGCAAATTCCGGTACATCGCCCTGTGAACTGACTGTAACATTCTTTCCCACAGTCAGTCCCATCATTCCCATCATGTGATGTTTTCAAGCTACCAGTTTGCAGCTGCGTTGCTTCCATATCGTAACATGACCATGTGGGTACTCCCCACATCAGCAGTGTCCACTGTGGGAGCCGCTTGACGTTGGCATGGGAAGCCCCCATGTGATCCAAGCAACCAGTGAGATGCTGAGTTTCATATATTGATGCAAGAACACTACAAAGATAAATTAGACTTCAAACCATAGTGATGGCTGCATCTTAGGAGGGAGGCCTAGAGTGTTTCCAACAAAAGATAGAGCAGCTGCCAAGCATACTACCCATCTAGAAATCTGTTGCAGAACTGCAAATATGGTAAATACAGGTAGTTCTACTGTATGTGCAGATGTTGGTGGAAGAGAAAGCGTCCTTTATGGGCGAGAGTTGTGGGGGACTCTATGATATGGTCCCATGCTTTTGCCCCCAGCCTAGGCCTCTCATTCAATGGCAAACACCATTAGCCACATAGCAGCTGGGCCTACTCTTGGCTTCTTAGCCTTCCTCAGGACACCTAATTGCTTGGTGACATTCTCTCTTATTTTCTTCCAGGATCCATGCAGAGTTCCAGCTAAATGAGCCTCCCGATTTCCCGTTCTGGTTTTCCCCTGCCCAGTTCACAGGCTACATTGTCCTTGCCAAGGACTCCTCCCACGTTCGAGAATTCAAGCTGTTTGTTCCTAACAACAGGTGAGGGTTTCCCACTTCCAACATCTTCTGATTAGAGACAAAACCACAAATGGCCTCTTTAACTTGAACATGCAAGCTCCACACATTTGATTATTTTGCATTGTTCTACTTTAAGTCCAGCTTCTGAGATTTACATAATAAGTGTTTTGGAAGTTGTTCATTTGTAGAACAAGATCAGCTTGGCTTATGCTTCAGTTCTTAATAGATTTAAAGCTGAAGGGTTGTCTCTTTAAGAACACAAGACCTTACGCTGAGTCAGACATTTGTTCCACCTAGCTAAGTAATGTCGATACGGACTGGCAGTGGCTCTCCAGTTTCAGGCAGCAGTCGCCCTCAGCCCTACTTGAAGATGCTGAGGGTCGAACCTGGGACTTTCTGCATGGAAAACAGATGCTGTACCAGAGAGACCAGGCACTTCCTCTTTCTCCAGTGAACCTGCACATGCACTTATGTCAGGCCCTGCTCTGTGTCCCCAGGGCAGCTAAGATTTGCTAGGTGAGCAGAATGCTCTCCTGAGAGACACCCACCTAGCCTTATCACTGCTGGCCTCTTTGCAAGGAGCAAAGGCATGGAATTGCATTCAGCTAAGTCCTACTCCAGGTAAACCCATTGAAATGAATAAACTTAAGTTATTCATGTCCATTACATTCAATGGGTCTTCTCTGAGTAGGATTAGCATTGGATACTGCTACTGGCAGTTAATTTATTTCATATACCTACATACCGCTTTTATCCCAAGGTGGTTTACGATTAATGTTTTAAAATAGTAATACAAACAAATGGTATAGAATTTAGGCCAACAGACCAAATGAACTGGTGGCGTGAGGTCCCTGGCCTAGACTTCCTTGCTTCTACCTTCCTCCAGGGCACACCCATGTCTAAAGTAGCTATCAAGAAAGAGGAGAGGGGCTACATCCGGGAGGAGGCACCTATGGTCATCCATTTGTTTTTGGACTACAGTTCCCATCATCCCTGGCCATTGCCCATGCTAGCTGGGGCCAATGGGAATTGGGAGTCCCAACAAGATCTGGAGGGTCACAAGTTCCCCATCCCTGGACTGCCCCCAACATTGTTTCAGGCCACTGATAGTCCTTCAGAAGCTGATGGTATGTTCTCCTTGTTTCTCTACTTCTGTCTTCCATCAGGGTGCACAGGTATTTCTTTAACCATCAAAGGTAGATGGCTATTTGAGCAGGCATTTAGCTAACTGTAAATTGATTCCATGCTGCTTCCTTGGGAGGTCTGGTGTTTGGGGTCTTCGTTCGTTGTTTTTTAATCATTGCTTTCGAATTGTGTTAATTCATTGTAACCTACCTGAAGGTTTCCAGACTGAAGAGCAAGATAAAATATATATTGATAAAATTAACAAACATTGTTTCAGCACATGTGGATATCCTGCACCTGACTTCCTTTTGCTTTTTCTCACCAGGTCTCTCAATGTAGACATGGAGTGGCTCTATGGTGCCTTGGAGAGCAGCAACATGGAAGTAGATATTGGATACTTGCCTCAGGTCAGTAGCGAGAATCACATTTGGACTGTCTGTGCCGCTGTATTTACAGTACTGACTGATTCCATCTTATACATTTGCATGCCTGATTTGTATTGTATTCCAAAGAGTATAAAGCGAAAAGTTTCATTGTCTCCTTGGTTTTTGCAGGAAATTTTGTTGAGTAGAAGGAGTGGCTATTGATAGTGGTTGGTAATGATTCGTTTTTAAATATTACATTGCTTTGAAGTTTACATTGTAGACTACCCTGGGATCACAGTGATGAAAAGTGGCTTAGAAGTTGAATAAATAAATAGCAAATAGATGGTTGCAACCTATCTTCTAGCCTTTTTAGGAATGGACAGTAGCTTAGGATCTGCTGGTAGATCTTTAAGTGATTTGAAGTAGATTGACAATGATTTCTGACCCCAAATTATTTAACAATGGCAATCCCCACCCCCCGTTAAACAGCTGAAGTGGGAGAAAAACTGGTAAGCAGAAGTGGATTTTTTGAATAGAAAACAAATTCTGGGCTCAGAATTCTGTAATTCCAATCATATTTATTTGGCACCTGGCTCAGTTGAACCTCAAGGAATCTAGTAAAAAGAAAAATGTGAAGTAGATCCCACAAACCCAATGTCTACTCACCGTGGCTCTAGGCTGCATTCCACATCCCTGCATGTGAAATCTCTATAGCGCTGTCTGTTTTCTAGAGACCATTGCATGTTCACTGAGAGTTAAGTGCCTTCTGTCTTGCAGATGGAACTGGAGTCTTTGGGGCCCTCGGTCCCTTCCGTGATTCACGACGAAAACGGGAACGTGATTGACAGCAGAGACTCAGAAGGAGAACCAATTCAGTTCATATTTGAAGAGATCACCTGGCAGCAAGAAATAAGCTGGGAAGAGGCTGCCGGCAAACTGGAAGTTGCCATGTATCCATTTAAGAAAGTATGGAAAGAGCCTACCTTGCATCCCCTTAAACGTGATTAAGTTATTCTGCCAGCACTCATGTATGAGAAGGGCTAAATGCAGAGAGCCTTCCCAGCCTGATTTGGTGGTTGTGAAAGTGACCAGGCTGCAGTTATTGATGTCTGCTAACACAGCAACCCAGCAGTTCTATACAAGACTCTGGGATCTTTTAAATGACTGTCCAGTACATCCTTTTGATGGATGAATGCAAATGTTGGCAGAGACCACAGAGGAATATTCTGACCGGAACCAGGTTTCACAGGGCACAGGCAGGACCTTAAGTGCTGCATTGTTCATCCTTCCTGTTATCTTAAGTCCCTGGTGCCGTTTTAAAAAGATGGAAGTGATGGAGGTGTCTTGGAGGGCATTTTTCTGCTGCAAGCAGAGCAGGATACCCAGCAGGCTTAGTACTGTACTTACCTTATCAGCAGAAAACACAAGACATGTGTGGCTTGTGGCAGTTGAAACAAAGAGCAAATTTATAGCATGAGCTGTTGAATGCTATTCTCATTCATCCAGCAACCAGAACTACCCTTCCACATCTAATTAATCCGCTGAAAAATGGGGGGGGGGTTGAGGGGGGGCAGAGTATAGTAAAAGCAGCTTGTGAAAAAATGTGCAGTTTGAAGGGATTGTTTATGGTTAGCTGTTTCCTTAAGAAGCCTGGGTTTCCTTAAAGGGGCTCATCTGTTTGACCTGTTGTGCGACTTTTAAGGATTGTAATTAACCCATCTCTCACTTTTAAAAAAAGTGTCGTCATAGGCTATAAAGCTTTGTATTTAAGGACTAGCCTAATAGTCATAGGCAAGAAGGAATTGGCTCAGATGTAGCTAGAGACCAGAAAAATCTTTTCATGTACAAATGGTATAATGCTCAGAAATGGAAGGAGGGTACAATACCAACAAAGGAGGAATGGCAGGCGAAACTGATGGAGGCATTCAGAAATGGCTAGTTTAACTAGTAGAATAAGAGACCAGGAAGAAAGAACTTTCAAGGAAGATTGGAAAAGATTTGTAGAATATTTGAAAAATTATTGTAAGCAAATTAAGGCGTTAGAAAGATTAAGAGTAAATTCAGCAGTATAAAGTAAAGTGAGATAAAACTGAGAAAGAGAGAATACAGAATAACTAGAATATGCAGCTCTAAAGGGTAACCAAAACCATCCATGGAAGGGGCAGGGAGGGAAATCAATGTTAAATGTATGGTTTGCATTTTGGTAAATGTTAATGTGCGAGTGTGTGTGTGTATGGAATTGAATGTAAACAAGCAAGCAGGTTGGTGAGGGATGGACCAAGTGCTCTGTCCCTCATGTTTTCAACTTTTTCTGTTACTTCTTTTGGTCTCAGGTTTCCTACCTTCCCTTTACTGAAGCTTTTGAGAGAGCAAAATCTGAGAGTAAACTGGTGCACTCCATACTGTTGTGGGGAGCACTGGGTGATCAGTCATGCTGAGGTAAGAGGGGCATTTCTCATCACAGTTTGTTTTTAAAGGACATGTAAAAAAATCCAAATCCATATTAGGGCCACTAGTAGTAGTAGTACTATTCCTTTCTCACATAATATGAAATATTAAAAAGATAGAAACATATACATTATACACAAATATAATAATAATATGTATTGTTGGGTTCCCCACCCCCTGCCCCACAAGCAAGTGTCCTTTTTCTTTCTGTCTCTGAGCAGGTTCAGGGCGAACTCTCCGGGAAACAGTCCTGGAAAGTTCGCCCATCCTCGCCTTCCTGAATGAGAGTTTTATCAGCACCTGGTCTCTGGTGAAGGAGCTGGAGGAATTACAGGTACGCATTCAGCTGCACCAGCTTAGTGCCAATGGATGGTGCTGGCTTGTCAATACAAGGTGGTGGTGGCAGGTCAAGAATGGGTGCATCAAAACCCCACAAGCAACCTCACTAGCACCTATTCTAGACATCCAAAGAAACTAGAGCTGTCAATTTTGGACTAAGTGGGTGCTTTTTATAACTGAAAGCAGTTTAAGACACGGATTTGTTTTCCACAGGCTAAGAGAGAGAACGAGGTCAACAGCAAACTCGCAGACCTGCACCTTGAAAAGTATAACTTCCCTGTGGAGATAATGATCTGTCTGCCCAATGGCACTGTGGTAGGGCTCTGACTCCCATTTTTCCTTTGTTAATTCCTTCTTTTATGAATTTGTGGTGTCTGCTGGGGATGGCAGTTGTCTCCCTCTGATATGCTTGCAGCAGCAGCAGCTGAGCATCTAACAGCTGCCTCTCAAAGCTGAAAAACAGTTTCATTTTGGAGCAATACAAAGTACTTGTGCTAAGCAAGGCAGTTACAGATTGAAGCTGTCAGGGCATTTTGTAGTGATTGACTTTTTCTTGTCCTTTCCAAAAACTCAGGAAACAAGGTCCACAAAAAGTCAGTAGGTTCACAAAGCGTGCTTCTTAATAGACACAGAATATTTCCGTGGGTACCAAATGGTATTGAAGAACTTGGTAGAATGTTACCTTAGAGGAGGAGATAAGACTGAATGAAGGTTTAGGAGAGAGTTCTGTGCTTCATGTTGCAATGTTTAGTAGGCCACTTCATGTTTTTAAATAACTTTTAGAATACCCATATCCAGAGCAGTTCCAAAACATTTTTTCTTTACTTGGGAGCTAGGTGCTCTCTCCCTCTCCTTCTCTCTGTCTTTACATACAGAGAAGCTAGACCTGATCAGGCAGCCATGAAAGATTCTGGTAGGCCTCACTTACAGATAACAGTTGTTTTACTAAAACCATACTCTGCTCAGGCCACTTCTCTGCATTTTCCTGGATCCCTGAAGAATCTTTCACATTCCACATTTCACCTCCCATCTAATAATAATAATAATAATAATTTTATTATTTCTACCCCACCCATCTGGCTGGGTTTCCCCAGCCACTCTGGACAGCTTTCAACAGAACATTAAAAACAGAATAGAACTTCAAACATTAAAAACTTCCCCAAACAGGGCTGCCTTCAGATGTCTTCTAAAAGTCAGATAGTTTATTTCCTTGACATCTGTTTGGAAGGCATTCCACAGGGTGGGTGCCACCACCGAGAAAGCCCTCTGCCAAATTGTACAGGCACACATTTCTGGTTCACTTTTTGCCCTCTTAAACCATTTATTTTATCAGGGGTTGATTTGAGAAAGGAATACATGTATTTCCACTGTCTCCATTTTTGAAAGCTGGGGAAGGGAGCAGACTTTACCAGTAGCCACTACAGGCAAGTGGGGCCTGGGGACTGGCTGGCTTCCCTTGCCCTGTGGCTCCCAAAGAGGAGGAGGTGGAGGCCTCTTTTCATCACCCTCAGCAGCAGCCACCTCTGTTTAAAATTGAAGGGCATCAGCCACCTTTGCCTTGAAGCAGCAGGTGCTAGATTTAAACAATGCAGTGCATCCTGCTCCTTGGGAGGGCAAGGCAAATGGGCTTCAACCTCCATCCACCTGCAATGACTTCTGGGAGAAAAGAAAACTAACGTAGGGATTGAATGGTCTTTTCCTAAGCACATCCTCCCATTTCCCAGGTCCACCACATCAATGCCAACTACTTCCTGGATATTACTTCTATGAAGCCCGAAGAAGCTGAGAGCAGCATCTTTAGTTTCTCTGCCAGTTTTGAAGATCCCTCAACAGCAACTTACCTCCAGTTCCTGAAAGAAGGACTTCAGAGAGCAAAGCCGTTCTTGCAGGCCTAAGCAGAGAAGCAACCCAATGCCCTCCTATTGATCACCAAAGACACAGGAGTTCTTGTTTCTGGCACTCCTTGAGCTCATGCAGTACTGAATAGGAAAGTGCTGTCCTTGAATGGAAGATCTCCAGTCAAGTAAGCGTCCCTCAGAAATATGAAGCTGCTACACCTGCAATTACACAAATTATTTTCAGGACCATTTTGAAAGGAACTGGTCTTATTATTATTCTAGTTGTTGGAAGCAGATCGTCCTGCAGCCAACAATAGAGACTGGGAACAGGGTAGCACAAAAGTCTGAGATCTGGGCTGTGGTGTGTGAGGTCAGCAGGTTGCGTCTCATGCAAAGCCTGAATTCAGTTGGTGCTGCTCCCTTAGTAAAAAGGCTGTGTTGATTTGTGAATGGGATACCATGTTTTTGCATTGGCTCTGGCATCTGATCCCATTCATGGCCCTGAATTGCTCTTACATTGCGAAGGCCTCCACATTTTTGAACTGTTGTGATGCAAACCTAAGGAGATTGCAGGTTGCGTCTTCAAGATCAGCGCCTACAAGGATGCCGCTGAGCATAGGTATAGGAGCCTAGGAAGCCGCCTTATACAGAGTCAGGCCGTTGGTCCATCCAATATTGTCCACTCTGCCTGGCAGCAGCGCTCTGGGATTTCAGTAAGCGGGGCATTCGCAACCATGCCTGGAGATGCTGGGGATTGAACCTGGGACCTGCTGTATGGAAAGCAGTTGCTCTACCGCTGGGCTGCGGTTATATCCCAAAGCAACACCTATGTTATTTGCTACACTCCTGGCTAACAAGGCAAGACCTGTGTGTTTGCTACACTCGCACTGATGTCTGGAGGGCTGCTCAGGTGGGTGCTATTTCAGAGGGGGGAACCTTCAAAACAAATGTTTTAGCATGGTTAAACCAGGTCACAAAAGGCTCTGCAGACCCCTCCGGGGGCCAGATTTTGTCCTAGGGCTTCCAGCTGCTGATCCTATGCATTTTCATCATTGTGACTTCAAGTCAAGAAAAACCAGTTGCTCTTTCCTAAAGCACATACAGTCTTAGGGGGCTGCGTTCACAGTAATCATGTCACTGTCCAAACCTAAATCATGTTTAAGGGTGATTTTACATAACTGATTTTTCCTCCACCGCAGAGTTTGTTCTGAGTCACAATCACATGGTTGCCATGCCCATAATCCTGGGCCTGCAGAGTGTTCTAAAATGGGGCTATTTATCCCAAGATTGCTTTTCTTCTTTGCCATACGATGCCGTCCATGCAGTAATGCCACTTTGCACTTACAGGGAGAAGAATCAGATCTAAGCAGTTCTTTTCATTTCAGAGCCAGCCTTTCTGTGCTGCCTGCAACACATGTGAGTTGCAGGTCCTTCCTGCACAGAAGTGGCTTGCCTGGTGGGGTGGAGCCACTGCACTAACTTCTGGTAGGGAGAGGGGCCAAGGGCGGGGGAGAGGTCAGTGTACTGCAGTCCCACTGTGTTTAATGGGGCTTACAAGCCAAATTACACTGCATGGTGTAATGTGTGCTGCAGCTATGTCTTTGGGGTTTTCTTTCGTAAGTTGCATCGACATTGGTGGAGCTCCCCTGTGTGTGTCATGACCAGGACAGCAGTGTGTGTGGAGGGGAGGTTTATTTGTTTTCCTTCTTAGCCGTGATTTGAACAAAAATCACACCCCCACAGGGAGTTCCCATTGTGTAGTTTGGTCCACAGATGAGCCAAAAAGTGCTCTGTGCGTGAATATACTGTTGTGGAATTCTACTCAATATTGATCCAGAGTTGAGTCCATTGTATAGTTTGCAGAGTAACAACTTAAACACACTGCGGGATTCTAAAAAGATAGATCAGAGGCAATTGTAATTCATTCAGCAGAGCTTTACTGCTATTGAAGACAAATGAGCATAATGGTCACAAATCCAATATATTCAAGATTGGCACTGTCCATAAGAAATCCAGTTGCAGCAGACTTAACTTAAACTTACAATAACTTATAATAAGTCTGAACCTTAACACTATGTACAGAACACCACACCAGAAGGAAAGAGAGACAGAAAGAGTCAGCATGACCTTGACAGAAGAGATAACAGAACCAGTTTAAACCAGCTGTACTCAGCCTCTCTGAAGGAATAACCCAAACATGAACCTTCTGCTTGCTTCTTTCACATAGAGAAGCTCCCAGAACCCTCTTGAATTAATTAGAATAGGAAAGATCTCTACACATCAGATCAATACTTTCTGCACTAAGAAATGCAAACTGACATACACCCCTCCCCAAAAGGCTGAAGGCAGACCTTCCAAATTTATTTTCATGTACAGGCAACTCCCCGTTTACGTGCATTCAAGGCATGCGCAACAACACATGCACACATAGCCGCAAACCTGGAAGTGGCATGAAAAGGGGCAAAACGGCCCTAAAACAGTATGAAAATTGCAAATACAGCACGAAAACGGTGTCAAGCAATCCCACAAGCCTTTGCAAGTACAATCCCAGGAGCCCTTGCACCAACCTTTGAGGGCTGTGGAGAGTTGGGAGTTTGAGCAAGGAAGTCTGGAGGGAGCGGTTGTGGTGTTTGCAGGCATTTTCATCGGTGTTCCCAATATATGCAATTTCACTTAAATGTGTGCTGCCTCGGAACATAATGCCCGCATAATTGGGGAGTTGCCTGTAATGTGATGGTCTTCAGACTGATCTTAGGAAATCCAGGAATGTTTATCTGCGGTTCCTCAATTTGAAAGTCAGTAATGGTAGAGAAGCATCCCTGAGAGACTGCTTGGACATCAATACCCAGACTTCGAATACAGTGCACAGACACAGGGCACAAATGTAGACTAAGCTACACTCTCCGTTCAGATAGGCTGTGGTGAAACCCAGCAGGCCTAGCATAGCCTTGTCTGTGTCTGCCCTAGAACACTTCCCAGCCTCCTCATCAATAGGCAGGGGCTCCAAACAGATGTGCAGGGGCTCCTTTACAGATCAGTTGCTGTAGGAAGGGATTCCTGCAGCTGAGAAATTTGAAAGACACTGATGTAAAAGCTTTAACATGATCTGATACAGACCAGGAAATGGCCTAGGGTAGTGGGGGAGAGAGGAGCTGTAAATCTGAGAATGGAAACCCATCACTTTGAACAGGCAATTGCAGTTTAGAGAGAGCAGCTTTTGGTCAAGATTGCACAAAGTCTGCCATAGTTCTCCTTCAACCGTGAAATGTCAGGCTTGTCTCGAGTATTGTTTCTCATATTTTGCTTGGTTGCTGCAAGCTTGGAACGTTCTGATATTTTCCTCGGGAAATAATATTGTACAGCTGCTTGCGCAATCTCCAGTGTTTACAACATTTTTCCTTTAAAAGAAGCATCGAGGAGATCATCAAATAGTTTCAAAGTCCTAGATGCAAACTTAGAAAGGTATTATGGGAGGACCTCAGATGGGAAAGGGTTGCACTTTTCTTGTCTCCTATTGATTATAAAATAAAGTATCCCCTCCCCTCCCTTTTTTGTTATTATTCATGGCCATTAGGTTGTGGTTCTCTTTCAAGCTGGTAGAGTAAAGAGGCCATTGATGGGAAACCATCAAATGCAGCCACTTGCTGCAGCCTAATAAGAGCCGGACAATGTTCCTGAGGGCGCATCCTGTTCAATAGTTTGTTTGAAGAATGTCCCCTGTTTCCCTACTTCTCATTACATTTCCCAGCATTAATTTTAGCAGGGTGGGAACTTGCGTGGGATTTGTACTTTGTTAGTGACTGATGTGATAGAAACACATTGCAGAATTCACTTTGGCCAGGGGGTAGGGTGGAGGAAGGGATGGCGTTTGCAAGCAGTATTCATTTCTCTCAACAGCATTATTCTTCGATTGCCTTCTGCAGCTTTTCTTAGTGATAGGAAAGTGAGCCAATAGCTAAACATCAGCATTTCTCATTTGAAAAAAGAGCACTTTCAATTTTGGCTGGATTTTCAAGCATTTAAGAGTTGGCTATCTCTGAATGCTATTCAGCTGATGTTCAAGAAGCAATTACTGTCAGGTCCACTTCAGAATCTTACATCTAAAGCCCTGTAGCCACTTACCTGGGAACAAGCCCCATTGAACTTGGTGGGGCTTACTTCTGTAGGACTGTGCTGTAAATTAATAAACCCAACTGCTGAGTTTCTTGATTAGAAAAGTGTTGTTGTTGTTTAAACTTTGTCCTACTCTTCTGATTAGATTACCAAGAGCTTTGACTGCTGAATAAAGATCTCCCTCTTAATTTGCTATGGTCTGTGCAAATAAAGAAAACCCTAGCAAACAAAAGCAATCTAATGCCTCCCTAAGAACTGGCCGTCTGTCTAGAAAGGCTGCTATTGTTGCTGGCCTTTATATATATGCTGGCCTTTGCCAGCCTGGCACCCTCCAGCTGTTTTGGACTGCAATGCCCACCAGGTTGGTGAGGGCTGCTATGCCAAGGGGCCTTGGAAGGGCTTTGATCCAAAAGCAAGGATTATAAATACTCCTTTAATAACAATGAGTCTGTGGACCTAGGAGGAGTGAGTCTCCCTGAATGCATAAGGACTCCTGAGAAGACATGTAATAGAATTGCACTGTAAAACGCTAAGTCTAACCATTTCATCTATTCCAGGGTGTCAGATACAAAAGAGAGCAGGGCTCCTGCACTTTCAGTGTGCGGTAGAGAGAACTGCAGCAGGTTCAGCTTGTTGTGCAAGCCAGGACCAATGACAATTCTTTCTTCTATGCCGCTATTCAAGGTGCAGGAGCCTTGCCCTGTTTTGCACCTGGCGACGCTAACCCATTCTAGTTTTCAAGCCATGGACTTCAAGCAAAAGTTGTGTCTTAACTTTTTTAAAAAATGTTGCCAACTTTTTTCATATTATCTCTCTATATATTTCAAGAATTTTATAAATATTTTGATAACTCCAAAGAGAGGAAAATTTAGGTGTTTGTTACATTTTTTTCTCCCTGTTCATCTGTACTTTGTGATGGTATGATCTTAAATCAAGTGTGGGTCATGCCTGATTTTTGACAGTTGACTGTTGGAGAAAAGGAGCCCCTGTGATTTTGCTCTCTTCTTTTTTAAAATGTTTACTTTAAAAATGTGTGTGTTTTGTTTTTCGTTTGCTAAACATTTACATAATAGAGGATTCATTTAAGACGTGAGCTTTCTCCGATGCTGTACATTCTCTATTACATTGGGAATGTTTCAGACCTAATCAGTGTTACTAGTCATAAATTATATTAGAGGACAATTGTGGGTAGTTTTTTTGTAGCAGTATTGAAGAAATTTTAAGAATTAAAATGCAGAAAATACATGGTCAGTAATGTGATGATCTACTTATTTTTAAACTTGATATTTTTTTAACTAACTGATGTAATCCATATATTTATTATCTTAACCTGTGGCACTCCTCCCCACTCCAGATCCTAAATGTGTTCTGGTCACTCTGAAACTAAACTGGTGTATTGAATTCTTATAATTATTCAGTACACCATAAAGAAATATGTGTACCTGCAACATACCTCTTTTTAATTTTTTTTTAAAAGACATATGTGTTTCAATACCTAAGCACACATTTCACTAATACAAGTGTGTATAGTAACATGCCGTCCAGTTCAGCCAATTTGTTAAATGCTCTAGCAAAACTTTATGAGTATATTCTTGTATGGAATGTCCTCAGTATATTGCAGCTTTGTTTACTTTTTTGAGTAATAAAAATTGAGAACCCAATTTGTGTGTGCTTTATGTTTTGATACAGTGCCAATATACATTATATTTGAATTTTTTTAAAGGGAATGGCAAGGCCAACATTTTAGCATACAGTGGAAGATGTACAGTGGTACCTTGGGTTATATATGCTTCAGGTTACAGACTCCGCTAACCCGAAAGTAGTACCTTGGGTTAAGAACTTTGCTTCAGGATGAGAACAGAAATCGTGCTCTGGCGGCGCGGCAGCAGCAGGAGGCCCCATTAGCTAAAGTGGTGCTTCAGGCTAAGAACAGTTTCAGGTTAAGAACGGACCTCCGGAACAAATTAAGTACTTAACCCCGAGGTACCACTGTATATGTGAGTGATGTCAGAGCTTTTTAAAAATGCAATAAATAAATTCATAGGGGGCTGTTACATATTGCCAGTCTTGTGTGTCTTACGCAAATTATTCCTGGCAGTTTAATTTTTCAGGGGCAGCAGACACACAGTAGATGCAACGTGACTCCCACATGGGCCTGAATACTCCAGCTGAAGTTGGCCTATACATGCAAGTGGAATGAGGCAACAAAATGCTGCAATAGGAGATTGGGCTATAGGTGCAGGATTACATTTTTAAATGCTCCCCCATGTAAACAACTAGCACATAAAGGAGGAGTTTGTTTGTTTGTTTGTTTAATCCAGATCACCTAATGCTGTGCTGGTTTTCTACTTGCAGGGAATTGCTTGATTTGTACGGCAGAACACTAAAAGATGGCATTATCTACCGTGGGAAGTGGGAAAGTTCACTCTGCCATAACTCTACCACCTCATTCTGATCTTCATTTCCTGCTTGTATAGAGCAGGGGTCAGCAAACTTTTTCAGCAAGGAGCCGGTCCACTGTCCCTCAGACCTTGTGGGGGACTGGACTATATATATATTTTTGGAGGGGGGAAATGAACAAATTCCTATGCCCCACAAATACCCCAGAGATGCATTTTAAATAAAAGGGCACATTCTACTCATGTAAAAACACACTGATTCCCGGACCATCCGCGGACCAGATTGAGAAGGCAGTTGGATCACATCCAGCCCCCGGGTCTTAGTTTGCCTACCCATGGTATAGAGTAAGCTACATCCCACGGAAGATGAGAGCAGAGGGAAAGTGGTTTCTTAACTGCAAAGGAGGGCAGGAAAAGCTACATCTGTGGACTGGCCCAAATTGTGAAGCTGCAGATCTATTTTTCCGCTGTGCACCCAAATCCTATGCATGTTTATTAAGAAGTCTCACAGATTTCAGTAGATTGGAGGATCACAAAAAGACCAATTTCATAGCATCCCTTCTATTCTAGATGTCCAAGTGTGAGTGCTGTTGCTTATGTAGCAGCAGACTTGAGGGAACTCCAAAAATCTTTAGGGGAGAAACACCCCAAGCAGTTCAACCAGGACTGAGTGAGGTGGGAGGGAATGGAATGGAATATCCTGGAGCAGGGCATTGAACACTCCAGGCAGCAACATTGTGTTGCGGGACTCCTTCTCTCACAATTGATTTGTAGCACTGAAAGAGGGAAAACAAAGGGTTGTATCCGACCACTCCAAGTAGACCCAGTGAAATTAATGGATCGAAGTTAAGTTTTGCCCATTAATTTTGATGGGTCTACTGCGAGTAGGACGAGCCTTGTTTACAACCCTGTGGCACCTTAAAAGACCAACAAATTGATTATGGTGTAACGCTTCTGTGGTGCGCGGAGTATTATCCTGAATTGCAAGCGCGCTTATATTATGGTTGGGGTGAGAGAGCTGGTAAAAGTTAAGATCCGGAGGAAATGAAACGCAGAAAACTACAGACGGTGATCACGGCATGCTTAACGGTGCGTAATGAGGCCGTTATACTGAGCAACCGGCATCCTCCTCGCATCCTAGGAGAGGGCCGCATCAGTGGCGGAGCTTCTGCCTCAGGGAAGATGCTTATGCCCGTTTCCCGCCCTTGCTTGGAGAGCAGCCCAGGTAAGCGGAGAGCAGGGAACTCCCGCGGCTCCCCTCCCCTTTCCCGCACGGCGCGCATGCGCGGAGAGGGACCCGAGGGGTGGGCTCCGCCGCCGCCGCAGCTGTTTCCGAGCGGAAGGGCGACGCGGGGTTGCTGGGAAGCGGCGGCTTCGCCTCGCGGCGTTTCTTTTCTCTCCCCCCACTCCTCACTCGGCGGCGCCGCCTGTTTTTTTCCGAAGGCGGGTCGCCCCTGCTCACCCCGAAGCGACACAGAGCCCCCTGCGAGGGGGGCGAGGAACGGCCTCCAGGCCGAGGGAAGGGTAAGCGGCGGAGAGGGAGGCGGCGGCGTTGGTTGTCACAGGGAGAGGCGTGTCAGGAGGACGTGCGAAGGGAGGGAGGGTTTCCCGGGAGGGTTTTAATTTCTGCCATGGCCGAGGAGGAGGAGGAGGCGGGTCTCGGCCTCCCTGCCTGGCATCTTTCTTTCCCTCCCGCCCCCCAGATTTTTAGAAGGCCCAGCCCTTGGGGCGGTGTGACGTCAGCATGGACGGCAGTGCCCCTGAGCAGGTGCAGAGTGCCTTCCCCCTCTCCGCCTTGAGGGAAGGGCAGAGGGGTGGCCGCGGCAGTCCGTTGCAGCAAAAGCCGTAAAAGAGGCGTGTGGCGCCCTAGAGGAGGCCGACAGCATTATTATGGCGTAGCGCAAGGTTTTTGGGGGGTGGGCTGCAGCTTTGCTTCCTTAAATGCATCTGATGAAGTAAGACTCTCCAGACCATGAAAAGGTTACGCTGTGGGAAATGTGTTGCAGCACAGTCCTAACTATGACTACTCAGAAGTAAATCCTGTTGAATTCGGTGGGGCTTGCTCCCAGGCAAATGGGGATAGGACTGCAGCTTTAGTCTTCAAATTGCATCACAACATTATTTGTTGGTTTTGCTATAGAGAATTTACAGTATTCTCTTATCTCCGCATTCCAGTACTAACTACAAAATTGGGGGCTTCTGGGAGGAACAGCTTTTAGATCAAATACTGTACTTGAATCTTATTAATAACTTTTGTATAAGATTATCCATTGTGCAGAGCCATTTAATGCTCTTCTCTGTGTGCTGTACACACACACACACACACACATTTTATCTTATTTTAAAACAGGGCTGGGGAATATGTGATGTTGCTGAACTCCAGCTGCCATCAGTCCTGGGCAGTATGGCCAATTGTAAGGGATGATGGGAGCATCTGGATGGCCACAGCTTGCTTATCCCTGCTTTAAAACTGTCAGTCTGCCTTGAGTGCAGTATATTCAATTGAAGAGTACAATATAAATTGCCTGAAACATGTTTGTGCAGAAGTAGCACCTGCTGGTTTTTCTTGGAAGCTTGTGCAGGATTGCAACCTGACAATGTAGTTGTATGCACATGCCCTCAAAAGTAAGCCGCACTGAGTTTAATGGGACTTTTCCCCAGGTAAGTGTGTAGTTAATTGTAACATTAGCCCCTTGTACCAAAAATAGCTTACCAAAGGACTTTATCCCTACCTACTTAAAAAAAAAAAAAGCCTTGCTAGGCCTATTCATTATTTAGTAAAATGTCTTAATGGCATAATAAATGTGCGAGGTTGATAGTAGTAAGTCCTCAGTCTTTGGCATTTAAGAGTCTTTTTTCCTCAAATTGTTAAATGTTTCCCACAGGGATCAGGTTGTTGATGGAGTGGTAATAGTGGAGCTGATGACCCACCCTTCACCATAAGGCAGCTGGCAGCACACTAATTTTAAATGTGCAGACACACTCCTGGCAACTGCCAAAACCAAGAGTACACCTAAGCTGCAAACCTGAGTTTTTAGGGGAAGAGTAACACCCACCACAGGTCAATTCCCTATTCCCTGATCTTTCTTTCAACTGACCACAAACACCTCTGGCTTGTCTGGATTAAGCTTCAGTTTGTTCACCCTCATCCAGCCCATTACTAGCACTAGACACTGGTTGATAGAAAGGAGAGGAGATGTCACCTGTGGCTACCAGGTTAGTGCTTAGATGCAGGGCTGTTGAAAACTGATAGATGCATCCAGTATAGTAACATAAATTCTCAGTATGGTTCAGCCCCTCTCATGGCAAAATTTGGGAATTCCTGGACCAAAGTGATTCGATGCAGAGGGCACTTTGCTTCTCATATCTTAAGGAGCTATAACTATGATTTTTCTTTTTCAAGTGTTTATTTGTTAAAACATATCTGCCCCACCATTACACTTGAAAACAACGCTACCTAGGCAATTCAAAGCTTTCTTAAAACAACTCGGTTGAACAGCAATAAAAAAACAAGACAAAAATACATTGACTAAAACGGCATCTACTGGTTCTATGCTTGTTGCTCAGAGTGCATTATTAAAAAGCACATATAAAACAAAACTGTCTTAAAGCAGATGCCTAAGGGCACATAAAGAGACAGCTAGGCAGACTTGCTGTGGTATGGAGTTCCATAACTTGAGTTCCACCTCTGAGAATGCCCTGCCTCTGTTGCCCACCAGGCCATACCTCATATGGACACAGAGCAGAGGCCCAAAAGCATCCAGACAGGTTTAAGAAGGTGGAAGTGGGCCATTCAGACAGTTCTGTGGGCTATACAGTTGGGCCCATTCCTCCTTCAATAGACAAGGTTGGAGAGCACTTCAAGCATACAAGTCGAGAATCCTTACACACACAAAGAGAGAAACACCCCCTCCTTCCCCATTCACCAGTGTAAAGTGAGCGAAATGTGAGTGCATTTTGATTTTTCAGCTGAGAAAGCAGTTGATTTGTCCTCAGCAATAGATTTTAATCTCTGATCTGCTGTTCCTGCTACTGACCTTGTTAAATCTCTCTCTGGCTTCTCTTCTTTAAGCTGCAGGCTCCTGTGCAGACAGTGCCTTCACTCAACATAAACAGCATGTGAGCTGGGGGTAGATAAGCAACAACTCCGCTTAACGCCTCTGGCTGAGTGACTTGCCAAAGAGCCCATCGCTGTCATGCATGGTTATCCTTGGTTGGCTGAGTTGTGATATCATTAGCCGTGTGTGCCAGTCTTTTGACCTTGTCTCAGAGCAGAGGAGGCTGCTGAAGGCTCAGCTTTCTAACACTTTTATCAGACCTGTTGCTGTTGAGGAAGAAATTTTGGTGGCTTTTTTCTTCTGAAGAATGTAACAAACATAAGAGGAAACTAGAAAGTCATTGGTTAGCACACTGGGAGATCTTATTGATGCAGGTACCAATCTTTTAATTAGACCTAATATTACCATCACTTTTCCTTGTTTGCTTTCTCCTCCTTGCAACCCACTATAACTGGAATTTCCTTCCACCTGACACTCTTGTTTTTACATTGAAGTGCCTTTACCCTGGCTTTTCCCAGTGTAGACTCTTTTCCTTTCCTGCCTCACATACCTTGCATTTTCCTTTTAGGGTGCTTGTACAGGGACAGTTTATAATTTTTTGCAGAGCACTTAGCACTGTTTAGCGGTAAGGTTATTTATAAAATATTATTAATGGTCATATTGCTTTCTGTAGCACTTGTATAAAGTGCATTACAGTCATACTTCATAGCTGTGATGCATGTGGCTATTGTTTCCCCTTTAAACATGGACAAGCTTAGGTTGAAAGCTGTTTTTTGCTTCTGGTGGCTCTATTGGGATTTGAACCCAATAGTCATATGCAAGCCAGTGCCTTTTTGCTCAGAGCTGGCAAGCTGTATTAAATCTGGACAATGTTTCATTTGTAATCACTTCAGATAAAACTTGTAATACAGATCAGTAGATCTAAGGGCTAAATGTTCTCATGTGTGATCACTGCTGCTTACTTGTAGTAAACTATATGTAAGATATGTAAGACAGTATATGTAATTTCTCATGGCAAATGTTAAAAGTATAGTAGGATACTGTATCCTACTCTAGTCTTGCCCAGTGGTGCATAATTCTGGAAAGTTTTGATATAAAAATATTTCCTATGCAAATCAGGTTAATTTGCACTGGAAGCTTTCCTGATGCCTTGGGAAATTATTTGATTTAACAAGTTTATGCTATTTGTATTTGGTAACAAAAGCTAAAGATGTTGAAACTTCCAAGCTTGTCTAAATTTTATTTGCAGTTGGCATCTATTCACTGTTACTAATTAACTTGGGAAACAGAAGAATTTCTGCAGAAAAACAGAGCACTGGAAAACAATCTTTTTTGGAAACTTTTCTGCCCCACATCAGTGGTCTTATTTTTGTAGAGGCCAATAAATATCCTTCAGAGGATGAGTTTGTTTTCCAAGTAGATCTCCCAAACCAAATTGGCCTAGTCTCTAGTGAAATTTGGTGAAATTGGAATTTACATCACCTTTGAGAAGCTTTATACCTTGCTTATCTGGTTGGTTGTAGAAATGGCAAAATTGTTATTGGGCAGCATGCAAACAAATAGCTGAAAGGGGAGAAACTGGAATACAATATGTTCTAAACAGCTGAGTAGATACTTTTGGAATATATTTCCCATAGGCAATTCCTGGTGGTCTCTTACTCTTTCAAAACTTTAGGGTTTTTCCCCCTGTCTTGGTAAGTAAATGGGTTTTTCTTTCTGCAGAGTCAATCGTATGAAAGTGGGAACAACTACAAAGGTGTGGATTGCTGATTTGTTCTATATACATTTGTGGTGAATGTGACATCACCTAACAACTCCATCATGAGAAACAGCTGAATTCCTTTTGGTTGTCCTGTGAGTCCCATTTTTAGAGAAGGGAATGCTGTAATTCTACAGCAGCGCTTGCCATCTTCTCTGGGGTCTCTAATTCTTATATCTCAGTTTAAAAGGGTAGAGGGAGACTAAAAGGAAGAAAGGCCCTGCATCATCCCTCTGTTGTGAAGAAATCTTCTGTCAGCATCCAAATCTAACAGACTCAGACAATTTAGGTGCATCAGCCTTACCCTATTGTGATTCCTTTGACAGATTATTAATGCTTAGGTTGGATTGTATGCTTGGTAGGCTGGTTACAAAGGGAGAAAACTGGAGGAGAATCTTCAGAAATTGTAGTATATCTGTGGCGGAGCGGCTGACTCAAAAGTCCCAGTTTCCATTGTGGTTACTGAACTATTTGATGCATATTTCCTAACTAAGTTCCATCTTAATGGAAGGTACATTAGGGTACCACTTGTTCATTATCTGCTGCAGGGTTATAAGGGCAACCAGCCGTTTGCTGGCCAGAAGGGTGGCTTAGCTCTCATTAAAGAAGGCATTTGTCTTTCTGCTTGAAACATTAGTCCTTCTACCAGGATAATATTCAAACACAAGGATAGTCAATGTGGTCATTTCCATAAGTTCTTGGACTACCACTCCCATCATCCCTATTCATTGGTCATCCTGGCAGGGTCGGATGGGAATTGTAGTCTAATAGCATTTAGAGGGCACCCTTGCCTCGTTCTGATTGTAGCAATTGTTGGGCAGTGAAGTTAACTACCCCGGGAATTTGCAAAATCAGTTGCATTAGGTTTTAAGACAGTATATGTGCCTGCCAGGAACAGTTTCTGTAGAGTGCATTCTGCTGCACCATGTGTATGGTGAACTACATAATTGATGATATTCTGCCTGACTCTTAAGTCTGTGAGCTAGTTTAATCCTAGAATACAGTTACATAACTGCTTAAGATGTAATTGGGATTCTTCGTATCACTGCTTATCCGCTTTAATGAGACAAATTTAGAACGTGCCCTTGTCTATGTTCATAATGAGCAGATAATTTTCTTCCAAGGGTGGAATACTATGAAGCTAGTGCACAATCTGGAGCTGCAGTTTTGACCTTTGACTTACTTGTTCCTGTTTGGTCAGAGATGGAAGCAGATTCAGTAAGTACACAGCTGTTAACATCATTTTTTATTTTTACTTTTGCAATATTGAAGACCTTTAAAGCTTGTGTTTTCCAAAACATACTGTTCACTTTGAGAATATGGCTCTTCTGAATAAGGCTTTCTTTCCAGGGTCTATACAATTTCTGCAGCTCATGAGACACTGAAATCATCCTTAAATCCAACTGAACATTGTTGGAATTCAATTTCCGAAATCTCTTGGGCATCTTTGAAAACTGTACTTTTGTAAAATGATGATGATAATAATAATAATAATGTTCTTGTGTTCGGTGTGTATAATCGTGCCTGCCCACGTGACAGTTTTCTATTGCAAAGCTCCCCAAAAGTGAGAAAGTTAAAAGCTTGCACCCATTTTTTTCCAGGGGTGGCTCTCAGTCTGAACGTACGTTAGGTGAAATAAGGAGGGAACGCGTCCCCATTGCTGAGGCAAATGGGCCGATTCCTTGTTTTGTCTCATTCTTTTTTAATTGTCGCAGTGCAAATTGACAAATGGGGTATGCTAGCCTGGTTGGACACCCTTAGAGCAATGTGTTTGGAACTTAGTGATGACATCATGTAGCTAAATCTGTTGGACTATGTGGTGCCAGAGTGTCATTGCATTACAGTTCCCATCAGCCCCAGCAAGCATTGCCAGTGACCATGGATGATGGGAGTTGTAGTTCAGCAACATCTGGAGGGTCAAAGTAATAAATCTCCTGTGGTGAAGTGAATGCTTGGACTTTCCTCCTTCATGTAGCCTAGTCCACGTTTTCAGCAGTATATATTTTAGCACCAGAAGAGATCCTTTTGCTGTCCAGATGTTACTGGATTATAGATCCCATCAGCACTGACCATTGGGCTTGCTGACTGGAGCTGATGGGAGTTGGAATTAAACAACATCTGGAAGGTCCCAGGTTTTTTACCCATTTTCTAGCAAAGCATTTGTAAATCAAGGTATAAACCCTTTTACTTAAAATGAGAGGTCAGCTTAGTGTCTGTTTTATCAGAAATGTGTTTTGCAGCCTTGGGGCATCAGTAATAGCATGAAAAATAAACATTAAAAAATGTAATAGACAAACTGACAGGTGGCCTAGGCCCCAAGGTATGTAGGGATGTATTTATAGTACCAGCTGTTGACAACTTTCTTAATGGATTAAACAGAAGTTCTCTCTTACTTTAAACAAAGTGACCTTAGCCACTCTAGTAAGGAAAACATTTTAAAATAATGGATTCAAACCACAATTCCCAGAATTGTGTCAAGGCAGACACCTCTTAATTTTTTACTATCAAAATTGCATGGTTTGTATTATTTAGGCCTCCTTCAAAGCCCTTGCCATTGATTGGTTGTGATCAGCATACAGAAATAGGTTCCTGCACATAGTATTGTTGTTAGAGAGGGTGCAGTACATGACAGGATAGAATGTGGTCAGAGTGGAAACCCTTGCAGCAGTCTGCTAGTTCATTAGCACAGGTGTCTGTATGGGATGGTTTTGGTGGCCTCTCCCAATAACAAACTGACTGCAAAAAGCTTCTGTCAACTGTTTGGCAGGGGTAGATGCAATGACCAGTTCAGCAGGTTCTCCCAGGTCCCTTTATACTGGAGTGATGGGTTTCTGATCTCTCACAGGCTTCTGATCTCTCTCCTGGGGCTCTGTGTCTACTGTAAAACCCGGTAAATTGCACAGCGCAGCAATTGCTGTGCTTCTATTCCTCTGGGCCTGGGCTATTCACAGTTTCATCCACAAAATGAGGGAGACTATCTAAAAACTGAACTACTGATTATTGGTTAAAAATATCATTACGTGTTTTGTTTCGACCCTCAGACTGTCCCAATTTGGCAGAACAAACCTTATGGCTCGGCACGCAGCTTTGTGAGAAAGATTGGGACAAACCTTCCTTTAAAGCCGTGTCCTAGAGCATGCTTCCAGGTAAAATACTGAAGTTCAGATGAATTTGCACACCTGTTCAAGGCAGGTTTAAATGCGGAGCCCTGCTCTTCAGCCTTGCTTTGCTTAAAAAAAGAAGTTTCTTTTTATTGCTACATGTCAGTCTGTCAGAATTCTTCGTAGAAAGGCAATAATTACTATTCTAGCAGTGGTTTGATGGTTTTTAGCCACTTTCAAGCCCATATTTTAATGACTTTTTCCTGTAATGAAATAAGTGTAGCTTGTGACTTTCAGGACCTGCATAGGAAGTATAGCATGCTTCTAACTAAATAAATTCTTTTTGCTACCCTTTAGGATATGTTGGCATACGATTTCTTGATGTAGGGTGCTATAGCACTCTTATTTATAGCCCAGTACTGTTCATGTTTTCTCAAAAAGAAGTTTCTTTTACTTTAATGGAAGCTACACTCTGCTAAATGTGCATATATAGGACTGGCATCCTGGGAAATGGGGTGCAGCTCCTGAGAGAAATTTGGCTTGGTGATCTAAAACCTTGACAGTCCTACCATAAGCTTTAATACTTTTTGCCTTAATGACTGCTTCATATGCTGGTATATGTACGGACTTTATTTGGACACAGCCTCTTCATTCTAGGAAGTCCTCAGCTAGCTATAGTTTTGTGCTTGGTCAGAACTGAGAAACCATGGTTAACAAAGCCTGGCTCGATTCAAAGCTGCCAATGATAGTTTCGCAGTTCAAATGAAACAGGCAACTACAGTTAATGGAAGACTCAGTTGATCGGAGGGAGCTTCCGGTATGATGGCGGACAGCACTCTACTAATGTGAGCCCATTGATTTTATCTTTTTATCTTTTTACTTTCTCTTACTCCTTTTATAGACTATTTTAATGAACATTGAGCTATTTTAATGAACATTGAGCTCAGATAAATTTAAGCACCTCACCCCATCCTATCCCACGTTCCGCTTTCCGGACTCCTCTTGGAGCTTTAAAGCCGCATTGACTATCTTATCACACTGCGAAGAGCTTACAGGAAAATTCATGGGCTGCTCCCACCATAAGTCTGGAGGCACAGACGGAGCATAATTTAGTGTTATGCCAATAACCTTTGGCACACTCCTCCTCCTTGAATAGGATACTTTCAAGGAAAATACTCCCTCGACTCTTTGAAAAACTTAGGGAAGATAAAAGAGCGAGGCAAAGGGAAAGATGACTCAGCAATTAGACGGCCCTGCTGATGCGAGGAGGGGGGTTGGTAAACGCTGCAGAGAATCTGAAGACTTAGAGGAAATGGCATGTTTGCCCCTTACCAAGCAAACCAAAATCAGCGAATTCTTCTATGGAAAAACAAAGGACACTTTTAATATTCCGACCTCGAACAGCTTCTCGCCATTAGCAGAGATAATAGATAAAGAAATTACACCGAAGGAACCACCCACTAAACAACCCATTAACTCCTTAAACAACACCATTACGAGACCAAAAGGCCCCAAAAAGTTCCAACTAAGCCCTTTCAGGCGGAAGACTGCATCGGAGAACAAGCAAACTATCTCTCTGAATTACTGCTTGAACACTCTACTACGTTAGACCTAGTGGCTAAAACCGTGGACTGTATCTTTAAATACATAAGAGACATCAAAGGCTCCTTAGAGAATATTACATCCTTTGTATCCCCAAAAGTTAATGTCAGCCCTGTAGACGTTTCACCGGAGGATAGGGCTGAACCAACGCCCAGAGTACCTGCCCTATTACGCTCAACCCCGCAGATTGGCTGCAAATCTGAAAACGAACAATCTATGGAAGATTTACACACCATATCTTCCTATAATCTTTCGTTACAAGCCACTAGACTTTGTTTAATTATCCTCCCCTTCAAAGGTCAGGTTGTTAACTGGTCGTCTACACATGTCGCAAGAAGGCATTTAGCTGAGCTTCTGGGCGTAGATCCTCTTTCCATCGATCTGAAATCTACTGTCCACATTTACAGCAAGCCATACATGCAGAGGATACTGCTCACCTTTGATTCTAAAAAGCTTCCAACTTATATGATGTCCTTACGAAGCTATCTGACTAATTATAGAATTTTCATCACAAGAGTTTTTATCAACACTAAGATTTGCCCTCTCATTCCCTACTCTTCAGTTAAAAGGAAAGCAATTAAAAATGAGAGCATTCCATCTACTACGAGCTCTACCTCTCCACCCTCAGACTTAATTAGTTGGACAGAGACCCCCATGCCCCTCCTATCAAAGGCTACTCATCTTGAGAATTCGATGGAGCAGGAATTACTTGTCTCCTTCTCCCATCTGCCAAAAGCCGAACAAACAGAGATAACGGACAGACTAGATGAGTTATTACTCTATCTCCGCAACTTTGAAGATCTAGCGCCCACAAAAGAGGCAAATATTCCACCTAACTCGGAGCGAAAAATGGGTCATGAATCTCCTCAGGTCACGGCAGAACACACACCCCTACTCTGCCCATCTGAAATCCACGCCGAAATCTCTGTGGCGCCCCTAATCACATTACCGGAGACTCAACCATTCAATGGTTGCATCTTCCACGACTCCGGGAAAGCCCTAGATGCTATTGAAGAGACAAAATGACTCTCACCCCTACTACTATCCTGGAACGTTGCTGGATGGCAATCGAAAACAAGGGACAAAGACGTTTTAACCTACGTATCACAGTTCAAGATCATCCTGCTCCAAGAAACCTGGACGCAAAATCCTTTCGAACTACACAATTACTTTGCTTTCCATTCCCTTGCCTCAATCGGCCCAAAAGGCGGAAGACCGGTGGGAGGTCTGAGCACCTTCGTATCGACAGATCTAGGAGCCTCCCCTATCCAATTGAAAATCGATAAAAATGGATTCTGGCCGTTAAAATATTCTCCACCCATTTTAAGATCATATGCATCAATGTTTATATTCACCCACTTATGAAACAAACTGATCTTAAAAACATCTGGAACGAACTGGAAGACTGCATTCTCCTCGTCTCAAATAAGTTTCCCTCTGCCTCCTTAATTATTGGTGGGGATTTTAATGCAAGGCTAGGCCACTCAGACGAACAGTTAATCAAGGAAAGTGGAATGGGTCCCCTAAATGCTAATGATGAACATTGGCCCCTATTCAGGCGTCACTCACTTGACCCAGTTACCAATTTTGCTGGTACATGTCTTTTTTTAATGGCACTTAGATTAAACCTTGTTATTTTAAACGGCCTCTCCTCGGGGACTGCCCTGGCCAATTTACTTACTGGTCAGGCTTAAGGCATTCTGTTATTGATTACATCCTTGTCTCCCAAGAACTCTTCGATGAATATATTGAATTTGCTGTAGATATAAGAACCGAAAGTGACCATTTACCCCTAAATCTTAAAAGGACTGAATTTTGGGAACCCTCTAGATGTGGGCTTGCCCCGCAGACTCCTGATCCTAGCGCTTTACAACAAATAGGCAGATCCAGAATTAAATGGTCCCCTTATGTTAATAACCATTTTGGTATTTGGACACAATCAATGGAAGGTCAACTCCTCTGGGCTGATCTGACTTCCAACGACACTGAAGAGACCTCCCCAATTGACCATTATAACACATTAATCCGAAAACTCCAACCGTTATTGTCAAGACCCAGAAGATCTAACCAAAATGACTCCCTACCAACAAAAATGGTTTGATCACGAATGCACTCAGGCAAAACTTATACTCAGGGAATGCTTTAAGGTCTTCCAGCAAAATCCTAACCCTATCACTAAATTGGAGTTACAACTTAAAAAAAAGAACTACAAAGAGTTATTAAAAACCAAAAAAGAACCGCAGACTCTCTCATTTGGCAGGCCCTCATAAAAGCGTCAATAGAAAAAGACAATTCCAATTTCTGGAAAATTATTTCCAGTCAAACCAAAGCTCCTAATGAGGGCACAATAATCCCTGCAAATTCATGGGAAGAGCACTATAAAGTGCTGTTTAGGGAACATCGTCCTTCTGCGCCGCTTAACATCCCCTTAGATAATGATACACCATGGCCCCCAACATCTGAAACTGAAATCACTTCGCTAATTCTACAAATGAAATCTGGCAAAGCCCCAGGAAGTGATTTCATTGTCGCTGAACTTCTGAAAGCGCAAATAAACTGGTGGGCCCCGGTCCTTGCTAATCTATTTTCATATATAGATAAGACAACTGAAATCCCTAAAGATTGGGGACTAGCTATAATTGTTCCCATATTTAAAAAGGGCAACCCCTCTGATCCATCTAATTATAGACCAATTAGTCTCCTGAACGTGATCTGTAAACTTTATACAAAACATCTATGCCTAAAATTATGGGAATGGTTAGATCATAATAACTTGCTAGAAATTGAACAAGCAGGGTTTACATCCGGACGTTCCACCATTGATCACTGCTTAGTGTTAGATTACTTTGTCTATAAGTATGCGAAATATTGGAAAAGTCATTATATGCGGCCTTTGTGGACTTAAAGGCAGCATTTGATTCTGTATCCAGGAGCAGGCTCTGGGCCAAATTGGCCAATATGGGTATTAACAGAAGGTTATTACTTCTGATGATTAAGCTTCATGAGAACAATACCCTCCAGATAAGACTCGCACAGGACGGCAGACTCTCTAGAGAAATCTTAGTCCAAAGAGGAGTTAGACAAGGATGCCTATTAGCCCCATTCCTATTTAATATCTATGTTAACTCCCTGGTTACATGCTGCCGTGAAATTGAAACCCACCCCCCTGTGTTCTCTAATGGCAGAAAAGTACCAATTTTAATGTATGCGGATGACGCTGTTCTTCTCTCTCAAACCAAAGTGGGTCTGAAACGTGCCTTAGGAAAGTTTAGTGACCAATGTAACACTGAACTGTTAACAATTAACTTTGCCAAAACCAAAATTGTACATTTTAACCGCTCCTTTAGGAAGGATAATTGGAGCGTAAAGGGAAACGCCATTGAACAGACTAAGACCTTCCAATACTTAGGCATTACTTTCTCTTATAATGCCAAATTCTCAACACACTTGACCACATCAGCTATATCAGCAGAAAGAAGTGCAAATGCTATCCTTAGATTATTCAGAAGGAAAGGAGCTGGCTTCCTCCCGATGGCCCTAACAGTCTTTCAGGCAAAATCTTTAGCCCAACTTCTATATGGCTCTCAAATTAGCCCCTCTGCCAACCTTAAGACCTTTGAAACAGTACAATCTAAATTCTTAAGATCATTATTTGCTACTCCTAAGTGTACACCTAATGCAGTCTTAAGGCAAGAGGCAGGACTGCCCAGAGTGGAATTAAAAGTCTGGGAACAAGCAATATCCCTCTGGCTGAAAATCCATTACAATCCTAAGGGTCTATTACCTTGCTTCCTGGCCGCAGTTCCCTATCCTCCTTGGCTTTTGCAAATAACTAACAAGATCAAACAAATTGGCCTAAACCCTGAAAATATTTTTATTGGAACTCTGAACAAGGCAAAAACTACTATCACTCGGAGACTTTATGATATCGAATTACAACAAGAAGGCGCCCTACTCCCAGAGACGTATAGATGTTTAAAAGCTTGGCCTAATTTTGCAGCTGCCCCTTACTTAACTAACATCACTAACGAAACCTATAGATGGGCTTTCTCTAGAGCCCGCTTTGAGACAATGCCCTCAGCAGTGCTGTACGGCAAATTCACGCGAGTTCCAATGCATGCGCGTCTCTGCCCTTGTATGTCTAATAAGGTAGAATCTGTCACACACATTCTTCTATCTTGCGAATTCTATAGTGAAGAACGAGTTCAACTTATTTTACCACTTCTATCAAAATTTATACCCCTTCAATATTATTTGGAATCCTCCCTGAAATTCTTCGAAAATACCTCCTGGAAGATTCCTCAAGCTCAGTATCATATGAGGTGGCTAAATTTTGCACTTTAGTAATTAAGAAGCGTAAATCTCTTCTGTTGAATGGCACACTGGGAAGTTCTCTTGTGTAACCTTTTTTCTTTTCTAAAGTTGTTGCTGTTTTCTTGTTGTCTGATCTTATGGTGTTTAGTGTCACTGGCTTTGGCCGCAATAAACTTGAACTTGAGGAAGACTCAGTTGGTTTGCATGCTGGCTCATGCAAAGGAGCTGCATATGTGGCTAAAAGGTGCAAAATGTGTGTATTGTCTGGCCACTGTTGGAAATGGAATGCTATACTGGGAGGACCCTTGCTTGTCTAGCAAGATGATGCTTGTGTTTGTATATTGATAATTCAAGGTTAGGTTATTTTTAGTTTATATGCTGCATTTCCAGGGTGGACTGTGCCCAATGTTGCTCACAGTAAATAGGAAAATTACATGAAACCAGAAAGCAAGTCCTAACATCCTCATTATTATTTTGAGGGGGGGGGGAGATTTTAACGGGTCGTGTAGGTGGGGAGTGTTTAGCTATACTAGAACTTGTTTATAACCCCATAAACTTAGAATTCAGATAATGTGTGTTCTTGCCTTCTCAGACTTTGGGGCTAGGGGTTAGTGTGTCTTCCCAGCTGTCAAGCAAGAGAGCTTAGCCTGGGATACCTAATAGCAAAGAAAGTAGGCAGTTCTACATAACCTCTGCTGCATGAGGCTCCTGAACTACAGCATTAATTTCTCCAGCTGTTGAGAAGCTTGCAAAAAGGTAGATAGTTATGTTGTGTTGTAGTAACTCATTACCTCATCTTCTTGCCACTTGCACTATTGTAGGCTTCAGAGGCCATACATAGGCCACTTTTCCAACTCCTATGTAACACAGAGATGCTTGGAAGGCTGCTTATAAAGTATTAAAATGTGTGCACGATGTATCCCTTTTGGAAATCATAAATTTGCGAATAACCTATCATTGCTCACTTAGGTTTGGCTAATTGTTTGTCTAGCGCATGATCACCTCTAGTCCCACGTGACACCTCAGAGGAGCATCCAACCTTCAAGTTGATGCAAATTAGCTACAGCCTCTAAATGATCTGTAGCATGATTGTTGGTGCTGAACAAGTTGCCCACACATCACTCCCTCTAATAGTGGAATCAGTGCCGCTGTACCAGCAGAGATGGAGCCAAATCAGGGAAAAGGGGGAGGTATTGGCAAGCTCAGGGGAACCCCAAGGTTCACCCAAGGCAATATATATATATATTTTAAAGGGTGAGAAGGTGCAAACCCTTTTCCACCCCTGCATGTACTGAATGGACACCAGGATCCAGGGAATGTTAAGTGACAGCTGGAAAAGAAAAATGGCAAAGCAAACTGAAAGGAGTCGTTTGGGTTGCTTGGGTCTGTAATGGCTCATGGTATCCTGAAGGAGGTCATGGCTGGCTGGCTAGAATCCTGACTCAGATCACACCTGTTGGGTAATGAAGAAATATTGCATTTTGCTGCAGGTCCCGTCTCTCTCCTTAAGTCAGAACTGATCAAAAAATGATTGTACAGCCCCATGATAATGCTATTTTCTTTTCCTTTCTGTTCCTCAGGAATTACCTAATGTTTCAGATCTTTATTTAAATGACACGCCCCCTGTCCCCACTCTGGCAGACGTAGCATGGATAGCTTCAGATGACGAAGAAACATATGCTAGAGTCAGGTACAACCCTTTCTCCTTTTCTTCTCATGCCTCCTGACTTCTTCCTTTCTTGGTCAGTTATTGCTGGAAACAGGGCAATATTGAGGTGGCTTCCTATCTTTATCTTTCTTTTAATAGTAGGTCTTTCAAGGTAATGAGGCATGGGTGCCATTTCAGAGAGAGAGAGAGAAAAAAACTTTTTCATATATCTTGGTAACCAGAGAGCCAGAGAGGTGCTCCAGACCTAAGGGATATTCATGTAAGGTCATAAACCCGGAGTAGGGGACCATTGGTGCTCATGTTGAAGAAAGAGTGACACTGAATTAGAAGTTGACTCTTACACAAAGTGCTAGGGGGAGCTATTGGTGTAGGAGAAAATCCTGCATGAAGAATTGAGCTACTTAAAAGGTTTAGGCAGGTACAGAAGGCATTTGTAGGACACACCAATATATGGATTGTGAAGTGGCAGCAGGCAAACAAAGAGGAATAAGGGCTAATTCATACATGCAAGATGATTCAGTTTTGAACTGCTTCTATTGGAAAATACTATTTTCAGGTGGTTTCAAAGCTCTGTAGGTGGTGTCTAGGCTGTCTTAAGCCTTTTTTATTGTCTTAAATACCACCCGTCTTTCATTGCTTTAAGACTTAAATTTTACTCAAGAGTAATGCTATTGAAATTAATGAACCTAATTTAGGGTGGAATTTCATGCTAGGCGTACTCAAAGTAGAACCATTGGAATTGATGGACTTGACTAAGTTAGGTCTATTTCAATTGATGTGCTCTGAATAGAAGTTAGTTGAACTCCACCCTTAGTTATGTTCATTAATTTCAGTGAGTCTACACAGAGTAAAATTTGGTTAAACACTTCTTCATGTATTTATGAACTTGAATTAGGGATAGTGTTGTCTAAGAAAACATTGCACCATGGGTACATATTCAGGTTGGCTTGAAGTGATGGGAATTTGAGAGATAAATAATGAGAGAGAAAAGAGACTAATGGGTAGCTAAAAATGGGGTCCTGTAGTGATGAGAGAAGGGCCAGTCACAGCTAGCACACTTTGTATGATATAATGAGCATGGACTACTATTATTCACTGGGGCCAGTTTCATTTGAATTTCTGGGATCTTGACTTGTAGGACAGACACTCGTCCACTAAAGCACAAATGGAAGCCCACGCCACTTTTCGTTATTCAGCGGAATGCCTCTGTCCCAAATTTGAGAAAGCAAGAAGAAAAGCTGCTGGCTTTGAAGAAACCAGGTTTACCCGCTTTGAGTCGGACAACAGAACTCCAAGATGAACTGAGCCATCTGCGTAGTCAGATTGCTAAGATTGTATCAGCAGAGTCAGGTAGGTACCCAGCATCAAGCGCTCAGAGGAAATGTCTCAAAATCTTGTGCACAAATTTGAAATGGTGTGGGTGTGGGTGGGTGTGTAAGCGTTTGCAAGCCTACAAGAGTGGATGCAGCAGATGAGCAAACAACTTGGAAATTATATTTCCACTTTGATAACCAGAAGTTGTGGCAGAGAGGATGGTAAAAATTTGTTTTTTTTATTGTGGAGAAAGCATGATGCATGTTTTGTCCTGTTCTCTTCTAATTTGGGGTGGAGATTCTACTCAGAACAAACACATTAAAATTAAGTGACCAAAGTTTTGCTTATTAATTTCAGTGGGTCTGCTCTGAGTAGGACTAGTATTGGATACAGCCCTTGGAATTGTGTGTCATGTTTGACAAGTACATAGTAAGTTTGGAGATTCACTTGGGAAGTGCAGTAAGGGTTTGCTGTCTCTCCTGGTGAAGAGTCAGGTTGTTAACAAAATGGTGTAGATATGACTAGTTTAAATTTGGAACACATGAGAGGGAGCAACATATGCAGGTGTTGCCTGCCACCTTCCTTTGTTTGACCTCATTCCACAAATTTCCTTAACTTTCTTGTATGGCTGCTGCCTTTATTCCATGTTGAGAGGGTACCAGAAAACTTTGCCCCTTTTCACTGCAGTGCCACAGCAGTAGGGAACCTGCGACTCACAGGCAATTAGGGTTAGGTATTCAGACATAATGTTGAATTGTGTAATGGCCACATTTGAAATGTGTATTTTGTAAGGGCAAGACTATGAAGAGCATGGAGCACAGTTAGACTAGATAAAGTGCCAAGCAATTATAGTCTGGCAGCTTTAAAAGATCACTCTAATAGCACAGTATAGCTTGAAAGGTGGGAAGTTCTTATTCTTTCCTGATATTAGTTGTATATCTAGGCCCATCACCTGAGTAGCTGTTGATATTAGACATTGTGCGGTTTTTCTCCATCATGTAGCTTTGGCATTATTCCTTGGGGCCAAAAGGTGTTTTACCTACCAAGCTTATGTGCTTAATTTTAGATATCCCACAGTCAGTAACTCATTTCGGCAGTTGGTTTCCCTCCCTAAAGCAGGTTTTGTAGCAAAAACTTTTATTGGTCTTTGCCAGTGCATATCAATCTATTTGATTACAGCAGGTTTTTTTGTTTTTTAAAGGGACAGTAAAATTCCAAAATCATTGCTTGTTTAAAAATATTATTCAAGCTATTACTATATTAGATAAATGAAGTCTGCACTAATTTTCAAAAGTTTGACACACACATTTCATACCCTTCTTTGTCCATCCGTTCCCTAAATCAGAGGAGGCCATACTCAGCACTGACTTGGACATATAGCTGAACCATAATTGAGTATCATGTGCATCAGCTGTAGTGAGCCTCATGGTGGCGTGTAGACACACCCTTCTCCTGCATGCCAAGAGGAAGAGGCTGAAAACTTCCTCTTCTGATTGAAAATAGAGTTCCTTGAACAAGCTAGCATTATCAACCACAATTTGGTTCTTTCCTGTTCTGTCTAACCATAGTTTAGTCAGGGCTTCTGGATTCATACATAAACTCCTAGTTAATCTAAAATCCAAGGCAGAAGTGTTAACGTCTCCTCCTACTGGCATGCAAAAGAGGGAAGCTGGGGAGCATGCAAACTGAAGACTAACCACGGTTCAAGCACATAACTCTAAATTATGGTTTATCATTAAGTTTGAACCAGCCCTTGGTGTCTTTGCCACAGGAAGTAAAGTTGGCAGGAGCCACAAAGCAGGGCCCATCTGTCCAAAGAGACCCACACTGATGTTTCCTTGTGTACTTTGAGAAATAAAGGTTCAAAGTTTTTGTTTTATTTACCCATTACTATTAACCGGGCATCTGTCTCACCCACTTTAAAATGCTATGGTGCTTTTTGGTTCCATTTTATGAATGGCAACTTTATCAACTGGTTTTATTGTATTTAAGCTCATAACATTACACTTCTATATAATGTGTGTGCCCTTACAGCGTTTTGATAAACAGACCAGACATAAATGAGAGACTTCTATAATGTTAGAAGAAATTGCACAGAATTTGTCACAAATTCTAATTTATAATGGCCAGGATCCTATGATTTCTGCATCCCCAGTTTTTCAGGCAAAATATTTTGCTTAATTTTTAATACAATGTACCGTATTTTTCGCTCTATAACACGCACCCGACCACAACATGCACGTGGTTTTTAGAGGAGGAAAATCCGTAGGCATGCCACCCGTAGGCATGCCCTCCATAACTCACACAGACATTTCCCCTTACTTTTTAGGAGGAAAAAAGTGAGTGTTATGGTGCAAAAAATACGGTAATTTGCTTATTTGTATTATTGTTGAGCCAACCATTTGCATGGTGCTGTACAGAGTAACAAACAAAAAGACAAAGTCCATGCCCTGAGAAGTTTACAGTCCAAAATTTACTATGAGGAGTGTTAGAGGGAGAAATAAAGGTAAGAGTAAAAAGGAAAGAAGATGCATTCTGCTTCATTCTGCTTCATGCCCTTTTCTTGTAATGGCCTATGACAGGGATGGGGAACCTTTTCTGGCCCACATGTTATCTCCTCGCCCCCTGATGGACCAAATTTGACAGGGTGGTGGGGCCACCCACATCACTTTGATGTCAGGTGATGCTTCCAGGCAGCTTCTGGAAGATCAAATGGGGAGGGGGCTTCTTGGGTTTGTTAAGCCACAGTTCCTCTTATGACTAAGCTCGTTAAAAAGTTGTGTTTGCACGTAACTCTAAAGTCAGTGTTGTGAAGCACTGATCACAGACTGCCACCGTTGCATAATATTCCCTTAACAGAGCATCAAGGTAATAGATTTCCCAAAGATATTACCGGATGACTTTGAACGTAGATAAGGAGTTGTGTTTGTACCAGCACAGGCGATTTGTCCATTTAGATCAGCATTGACTGGCAACAACTCTCCAGGGCCTTGACAAAAGGAAGGTCTTTCCCATCACCTGCCGCCATCACCTTTCCATCCATTTTAGCTGGAATGCCAGGGAATGAACCTGAATCCTTCTCATGTGCTTTGTTCTCCTCCTGTGATATCCCATTTGAGATCTTGCACCCCAGGCACATGAGCTCTCACAAATGTGTGTCATTCTAGACTAAAAGACAGATATCCTGGTTCCTGAAATTGCTTCAGAGTTAGGCTTTCCACCCTCTCAAGGGTGGCTCTTAAGGAAAGTGATTCAGTAGAGGTGATTGTGTGCACAGGGCTGGGTTGGTTTTAACTGGGAAGGCGAGGGATGGACCTTGGTTGATGCCAAAAGTGGCCTCCTGTGGCTGTGGGCCAGTTCTCTTCCTATCTGTGATATAAGGTGAATAACATGCTTCTTCTGAGAACTTCATGCTCAGTGTTTGGGGTGGCAAGACAGGAACAAGATAATCTTAACAATATACATTGAAATACTGCCATATAGAAGATGGTGGTTGTAATGGGAGGGTGTGAGATGGAAAAGTGCTTCACCCCTTTGCGGCATTATAACCAGCATTTGAGTAAAGGCAAGAGGCAGGCTTATGATGTCCATTTGTCGGGAGGTTTGCCTATAGGCTTGGCGTACATGTTCTGTTGCAGAATATAAAACCTGTAGTTTGGCACTAGGTTTATGTCAATGTGTATTGTTCTTTTTTTTTCCAGCTTCCACTTCATTAACACCTGATTTATTATCACCAGGAAGTTCAAATGTCTCTTCTCCCTTACCTTGTTTTGGATCCTCATTCCAGTCTACAACTTCCTTTGTCATTAGTGACATTACAGAGGAGGAGGCAGAATTAGAAAGCCCAGAGCTTCCATCCGTTTCCATGCTTTGTTCTGCAACCTCTGAATGTTGTAAAGCAGACCCAAAGGATTCCGACGACGAAGATTCGGTGTCCCTGTCCAAGGCCAGCAGTTTTGCCGATATGATGGGCATTCTTAAAGACATTCATAGGATGAAACAGAACAAAGACTTGTAAGTTTTTGTTTGTTTGTTTTCTCTTTTTCCATCCCCAAAAGTGTCTCTCTTTCTTTTCTGATTGGAAGCTTTGCAGTTTTGCTTTGTGTGATCTCTGCTGATCTTTAGCACTGTGACTGATATTTGCAAGGGTTAGTTCTTATGTACTTTCCCTGCATCACCACAACACAGGTTTTTAAAGCCTTTCTTATAATAGGCCCTACAATATTGATCTCTAAGGACAACTGTGCAAATCAGTTCACCAAAGTTACTAGCCTGCCTGTGCTTATCACAGTCAATTTTGGCTAATAAGAAAAGAATCAGTTTTGCCTGACTACCAGGGCAATTTAGTCACCATGGTCAAAAAGACAAGTAGCTTCTTCTAAACTGCCTCCAGATTGAAGTTATTATAACCACTGCCCTGAAGATCAGAATGTTCTAAACTAGGGAAGGGGAATCTGTAGCCCTTAAAACACTATGGACTGCAACTCCCTTCATCTCTTAAGCATTGGCCATGCTTGCTGGGATTGATGGGTCAGTGCATTTGACTGTTAACCAGAAGGTGGGTGGGTGGCTGTGGTCAGGAGTCCTGCATTGCGGAGGGTTGGAACAGATGAACCTTGGTGTCCCTTCCAACTCTATGATTCTGTTATAGGAGTTGGACTCCAGCAGCCTTTGGAAGGGCCATAGGTTCCCCATTCCTGTTCTCACTGGTCTGCAAATAAATGCTGAGAGATTATTACTATTCTAGCAGCTGAGACAAGGGTAACATGAGAGCTACAGGTCGGAGGTTTTGCCTTGTCTCTTCCTGTTTGCCTGCTTCTCCCTCTGCTACCTCCCAAATTGCCCATTGTACAGTTTATGGTTAAAATTGCCTCACTATGTGTCATTCTGGAGACGGGTATAAAATGTTGTACTTCGATAAGCAGAAAACCACTTGCCAAGTGTTCTGCAAGTTTCTAGGCATGAAGCCTTCCTAGGTTGCTACAATAAATGCATATATGATTACATGATTAGCATGTTGTGGCCCTTCAGATGTTGAACTACAAATCCCATCACCTGTGACTGTTGGCTATATCTGATTGAGGCTGATACGATCCAGGGTGCCACAGTTTCTCCATCCCAGGATAAGGGAGACGTTAGTTTAAATCCTTAGTCAACCATATTATAGCCATTGGCTCCAAACAACAAAACCTGAACTTGTTTCTTAAGGTTAGTAGCTAGCCATTCTTTATCACATAATTGTTGTAAGGGTAAACAGGGATCACCCCCATCCATCTATATCCTCCTGAGCTCACTGGAGGAACAATAGAATAAATAACTAAAACAGTAAGCTGGGAATGCTTGCTAAATAATAGATAGTTTTTTACATGCAAGTTTTTGTGTTTTATTTATTTAGACTATTTATATACCACCTTCCAACAAAAAAACACCCTTTTATGCATTAATATTGGGCAAAAATCAAAACCTCTTTCAAGCTAAACTTTTCACTATTGTTTCATCTGCACTCTGTTTGAACATAGTGTTTCTTGAGGTTTGGAGGGTTCAACAGGCAGATGGTATCATAAGTTGAATTCATTAGAGAGAGGGAAGTAAGGGGAGCACATTTAACAATAATTACAATATTTCTTATTCATTTAATGCACAATCCAGTTAGAGCAATTTAATTCTGGTAATAAGCAGTGAGATACCATGGAAACATTGAATTAAAGTGTAATTTGTTTGATCAGCTGCCATTGGTTTCTCCCTTCTGGTTTCTTAAGGAACAGAATATTATGCAGAAGGAAGAATCACATTCTCATTTGAGCTTTCTAAAAAAATTTGCTTGAGTTTATTGGAAACTGGAATAGGATTCTCAAAGCTGAAATTGATCTCTTCTCATACTGCTTGTATATCTGCCAGATTGCTGCTGTTGAGGTTATTCCACTCTATATATTAACTTTTAAGAAGAAAAATCTCAGTTACAGTAAAAGGGGTGCAATCGCTACTGTTTTGACCTGTTGCAAGAATTAGCAGCAATTGCTCTACCTCCTTTCAAAAGTTAGACTCATTTGCCTTCAGATTTGAGTAACTTACAACATCCAGTAGCGGGGAAATTGCATTGCTGTTCTTCCAAACAATACATAATGCAGCTGTACTTGCACTTGTTGGACACATATCATATCATATCATATCATCTCATATCATCATATCAATGTTATTCCTTGAACAAGTAACTGCTAATTCTTTTATTAGACTTTATTTTCAAATCTCAGATCTTACAGAACTTGTACAAAGTCTAAACTTAAGCAAATAATAGCAGAAAGTCTATCTACATCCATAACTGTGTTTCACAAACCCATATTTGTGACCATGATTCTTCTAAAAGAGAGTCAGTAGTTTCCATAATCGAGTAAACGTACCCATATGTATCTTGTCTTTCTTTAATTATACTTTCAACAATTGCCTCCATGACTATTTGTTTCTTTTTTCACAATTTTTTATTTATTTTATTTATTTATCCCTTCAACCTTAGGGCAGTCAGGGCAGTCAGTGTACATAGCTTGACTTTAAGCAATTCCTGGCCCATTCTTATTAAATAGCTAGACTGGGAGACAATCGCAAAGGAATACAGCAAGGCATGGGGGAAGAGGGGCCAGTTTTAGCGTAGCTCAATCAAGGTGCTCTCTCATTTTTATACCAAAATGTGGCACGGATGTGAATCAATACAAGTGACTTGCCCTGTCAGTGTCCAGTTTGGACCAAAGAGCATAGGGAAGCTACCGTATTCCATCTAGCCCAGTATCGTTTACTCTGATTGGCTGCAGGTCCCCAGAGTCTCAGGCAGAGGTCCAGCTGTGCCGTCTTTTCTTAACTGGGATACTGGGAATTGAACCTTGGAGTTTCTGAATGCAAAGCTTGCATCTAAAGCCCACTTCCCTAAGGCCAGTGGCTTTCACTACATATTTTTTTTTAAGAGGCTTATCTTTACAGTTTTAAAAAGCAATCCAGATTCATAGAACTTTTTAAAAATGCCGTTTTAATCTGCCTCTTGTGTCTCTTCAAATTCCATTAGTTGCATCATATATAATGTGCACATCCCTCCTTGCCATACCCACAATGACCTGAATTGTGAGTGCTGAAAGTCCATGGTAAAATGATGAGATTAGCTTCCTTCTTAGTAGAAAACAGGAAATCCTGCTTTCCCCTTTTTAGCAGCAAATGGGACCCTGCCCTGGCAGAAATGTGTGTCCTTTGTTGCAGGGTGGAAGGAACTCTGGACAACAAATGTTGCAGAGTATACGTAGCTACAGCAGCGAAGCCACTGGACACATCTGAGACAAAGAGAATTAAGGCGCTTAAGAGCTGCCCCCTCCCTTTGTGCTTTGCAGTGAGCAGCAGCAGACAAGGGCTATTATGGGAGAGAACTGTTCAGCTGGGTGCAACCTCATCCTGCTGAGCAGAGGAGACGGTTGCAAACACACGTCAGATGCCCACGGGAATGTTGGGACTGGATCTCAGCACTACAGCTCTGCACAACTGGTCCCTCGGATAAAATTGAATAACCTCTGATACAATGAAATATGAATCAGAAAGGTTTGCCATTATCCATTGTGCCAGCAGTTTGAGGAAGTTTAGTCTAAGCATCTGTGAGAAAAACAAAGAGACAAATAGATAAAAGGAGTTTACTGGTGCTTTTGCCAGTCTTACTGATAAATTACAAGAAGTTACAGAAATTAGAGTGGGTGTCTGTCAGATGAATTTGTAGAACAGCAGAGTCAAGGGTTGCCCTTGAAGCTGCTTCGTCTTACGGCAATGCATTTCTCCCTGTGCATGACACAAATTTAGAGCATGGCAGGTGGGTAGCTATAGCTGGGCTTATTCTTGAATCTTTGAGTTGCTAAAGTGCTATCAGAGTATAACATTCCTTAATCTGTAAGTTGCAGAAGCAAGCAGGGTGTGACACTGTGTAATGAGTGCAACACTTTGGACTTGCTCTTGACCCAGCATATGCTGACTATGAAGAAATGATGAGAATGGTGATAAATGGAAAGCTGTAATTAAATCCATTTTGGTCAGGGAGAAAGTAGCCAAGTGGTGCCATTCACTTAAAAAAAAAAAAAAGGAAGGTGCAGTGCTGCTGTCATTCAGAATCCTTGTGAAATGGTTTGCCCTAAACTAAATGGGTCAGTTTGCCTCCTTTCAATTTTTCAGGGTGTGGGTTTTAGTTTAGGAACTGTATGCTAATGGCTGAAATTTCAGGAGCAATGTGGTGGGGGTCCTAGGGTTCACATTTCTTACCACTTTTGAAATCTTAAGTCCCATTGTCATGCTTATAGACGAGGTGCTTAATGAATGGTAAATATATAGGTGCCCCCTTCTTTTTAATCACATGCTTATGCATGTTGTAAGTTTTAATATACTCTAGTAATGGTGAAAACAAAGGAAAATAATAAATCTGGACTGGTTCACACAGAACAAGGAAGTGAATGGCTTTTGTGTCAGAGATTTTATTTTTTTTAATTATTATTATTATTATTATTTATTACCAACTTATGGTTACCATGAGAGAGGAGAGGAATCTGCCAAGTTAAAAGTCACAAAGCCGGTATGATGAGCCTGTGGCCCTCCAAATGTTGTGGGCTACAGTTCCTGCCCCCATTGGCTGAGATCAATGGGAGCTGGGAATCCAACAACATCTGGAGGACCACAAGTTTCCCATCTTTGGAATGAAGGAAGATACAAATGTTCTTTTGCATGGAGGAAATCCTATGACTTCTGTGCCTCTTGGGCTCAAAATGACTTTTCTTTGTCCCAAAGCATGCTGCTCCTATTTGAGGTTGGCACAGTATGAAGGAACTTGGTAATGTATGCAGCAAAACTGAAGAAAAATGGTTGGAGTCCTTTTGATAGATTTACAGAATAATGTTGCTTAAAATCATCAATATTTAAGTTGTTTTTTGGGGGGTGGGGAACCACCACCCTAAGAATCTACCAGGAGAAAATTAATAACGTTTTGTAGAGAAGCCTTTCATTTGCTTACCCATAGGGATTCCCGCCCTCACCCCCTAGTTAATTAAACTGGTAAACAAAATTATCTAGGTATCGGGGAATGTAAGGTGGTTGAAAACCAGAGCTACAACAGATGTGAGTAAACGTGTTTGAAATAAGAGAGCTAAAATTTAAAACTGGACAGATTCCAGATCCTTATGATGCTTATTGTATAAAGGAATCAATGTTCTTTTGCACACGCAAACCGCATACATTTACCTCAGAGACTTTAGTTGTTGCTGTGCGCTTGAAATTCCACACATCACCCTGTAGTAGCCCATATTGCAAATCCATGCGTACAGACATTGGTGACTCTTCACTTCTGCATACTGTGCTGGGCAGAGAAGCAGATGGTGAATTGCTTCTGCAAGAACAGGAATGAGAAACCTCCCCCCCCCCCCCGCCGCCCCCAAATGCTGCTGAACTCCCAACTCCCATCAAGCCCAGCAATTCCTGGCTAATGGCTGGGAATTATGGGCATTGAATTTCAGCAATATTTGGAGAGCCAAAGGTTCTCCACAGAGTTGAGTGTGTAATCTGTTCTTTATTGTGCCAGCTTCATCCTGGTTTTTGTACTTTTGCCAGAAGGTAGGCTTCATCCTTGCAGATTTTTTGGAGAAGTTCTCTAACTGTTACTAATTCTACTCAGACAATAGAATAGCACTTCAGGGTGCAAGAGAGAGATTGCTTTATTGGGTGCTTCCTCTCCCCCATGACATAAGGTTCCTTGCACATTGAAAATTAGCCTGTTGGAGGAATCCAGTCTAGCATTATCCTTGACAGTTCTGTCGAGGGGAGGAAGCCATGTCTGGTGCATCCAGTGCATTTTGTAATTTGTGCATGTGGAATGTCGCACAAATAATCATGCCTGTGGCATCATTAGGGATCAGCGAAATCTCTAGAAAGGCCCTAAATTTGCTAGGTAAAAACTTGTATGCTGGAAGTAATTTTTAAAAGTCTTTCCTATTTTTACTGTTTACCTAATATCAAATATATGGGATTTGATGGTGACAAGAATTAAAAAAACACAAACCAGTAAGAGATTTGGAAGAATAGCCCCTTTGTTGAAAAACATGCAGTTGAACCACAACTAATTTGTTAGCTTACTTTATTTTTTAAATCCTGTTGAAGAAAGCAATTGGGGATGGTGGAGCAGAATGTGGTTTGCACTCCTGTTAATACCCTTCATCTTGTATCCTCCTTTCAGGAACAGAACTTTACTGAAAGAGGAGGATCCTGCAGTTCTTATAGCAGAGGTTTTAAGAAGAAAGTTTGCCTTGAAGGATGAAGATGTAAACATGAAGAAGAACTAAAATTATGCTCATTGGTTACCTTGTAAAGTAAATTATCGTTCTCCTAAGATCTTTCTCCACAGTGGCTGCCTTCCTTGAACATCAAAAGTCCTTTAGGGATTAGGTTTCTGCTCTGTATGTGCGTGTGCTGGAGGGGGGGAATAATTCCTACCCAAGCAGAACTGTGAATTTGCTGTTTTCCACACAGCCAAGAGAGACTTTGAAAAGGTAAATGGTTTTCCACATTTTGAACTGAAGCATTGTTAGCAAAGTAGCGAGATGAATTAAAAAGGATCTATTCATAATTTTGCTGCAATTCTGAAGCCTGTGATAACTTACTGATAGAAATGTATCCCTTCCACATTCAGGTAGAGATGTTTTTAAAATTTAATCATTGAAAGATGCATTTTCTCTTTTTCTCCGGACTTAACTTTTCAAGGCGATCAAGTACCTTTTCAAAGTGGATAGATATTCCAGCACTGGCTGACGAGGAAAGGGAGGCACACCATATAGCACTTGTAACCAGGTGGAGAGGTGGTAAACTTGCAGCCTTCAACCACATGCTTACCAAGTGTTAGCAAGGCTACCTCCCCTCCAGAGTGTTTTTTGGGGGAAACCTAGGAGTGAAAGTCTGGGCAATGTAAGAAAATATTGACTCCCCATTAAGTACATGCATTACAAGTGAGCTTTAGCATGGCTATCTGAATCCATCCTCTTGTTGACTTGGAGAAGCCTCGTAGCAGTCTGTGCCTGCCTATGGAAGTTAGATTGCTTTTACCCTGCAGATACTAAACTGATACTGTAGCTGAAGGACGCGTCTTCCAAAAAACTTTGAACTTAAGGTATCTCATGTGAGAAGTATTTTTAATTTTATTTGTGTAGGATTTTGAAGAGCAAACCAGCTTTTGCACCCAGAGCAGTGGGGAGCCTGTGTCCCTCCAGCTCTTGCCGGACTACACCTCCCATTATCCCTGAGCCTTGGTCATGCTGCCTGAGGCTGATGGGAGTTGGAGTCTGTCATCCACTGGTGGGACACAAATTTCCCACCCCTGACTTAAGTGGGGATGCATCTGTACTGCAAACATGGTTGAGCGTCATTTATTTTATCTTTTAAGTTCCTTGGCTCCTTCAAAGTTTGTAATTAAGGGATAAAAAATGCAGAATGTCAGAGAGCAATTACAGAATAAGCAGCAGGATTGGATTTTGTCTGTTAAAGGTAGGGTTGTGTTTAAACTCATGGGGACCTTCTCAGCCACTGTTTATTCTATATTTAAGAGCAATGACAGATACCGTAAGCAGTTATATTGTGCCTCTGTCCTCTATACAGCTCTAGGAGCATCACTGCCATTTTCTTTAAGCCACGGTTCTGAATCTGGTGCATCACGTTTTCCATGTAGCAGAGCAGGGTTCCTCTTTCTGCATTTTTCTCACAAGAGCCTTGTAGGTGGGTGAGGTTAAGAACTCATTGAATGGGCAGTTTTGACCCCTGACCTTCCTCAGAGTTAATTTTGAAATCAGGTCTCCCTTCTTAACGTTTGACAGCAGCCTCTCAAAGTAATGGCTGCACTCAGAACTCCCGTCCAGTCCTTTGGGAGAGCGCAGGGACGAGGAGAGGATTTTTGCACGCATTAGTGCTAATGTGTGGGTCTGAAAGGGACTCAGTTAACTTTAGAGAAGTCAGCAGCCTTTCTTAAAAGCTTGTAGAGGCTTAAGTTGTAAGGTGAGCGATTGACATGCTGTCACTTAACCTGCCTAAGCTGTGTCCTCTGTTAATGTGGCCTGTTTGGCAGATCATTCAAGGTTTTATATATCATGTATTATAAGCCAGGAAGTTGCAGTCACTCTCGCATGAACCTGGGATCACTCAGTTGGTAGAGCATGAGACTCTTAATCTCAGGGTTGTGGGTTCGAGCCCCAACGTTGGGCAAAAGATTCCTGCATTGCAGAGGGTTGGGCTAGATGACCCTGGTGGTCCCTTCCAGCTCTACAATTCTGATTGCTTTGGCATGAAGAGCTTGCTATATACTAAGCCAAAATTCTCCATTATGTCAGTTACAGACAAGGGCCATAAAAATGCTTCCCTTCTAGTGTGTTGTAAGCTCAGTGCTCGTTAGCCATGCAGGCTTTCTGTAGCATCCACACAACACCGTTAGCATCAAAATGCTAATCTGTATTCTTTTGTCCTTTATCTTTTCCAGGGGAAAAATCTGATAAAAACAAAAATAGTAAGAAACCAGATGAAATTTGCAACGTTAAAGCAACCTCCCCCCCTGCATACAAAGATCCAGATTTTTTAAAAGGTACCAATTCATTTTAAAACACAGAGAACAGAGTCCAAGGCAGCCTCCACTTTAATTCTACCTCCACCTGATAAAGAAAATTCATAGAAAACTGAATGGTAGGTAGTTGGGAAGCCTTGCAAGGAGCAGTGGGGAAGGCACAGTGTAACAATTAGGAATACAAGCCTTATCCCACAAAGCAACAGTCTTCTTGCTTAAGACAAAAATGACCTAATAGAGCACATGAAGAAAGACCCTGCTTGTTTAGAATGTAATCTGGGTTTTCTTCCTGACACAGCTGCATATTTTCCAATTGCAGCTTCTGGAACCATTAACAATACTCCATATGATATCCTTTCTTTATTAGGCAATGTACAAGTTATAAAGAAACCGGCATGCAGAATAAGTATGAACGCTACATATATACACCTAAGGTCTGCATCAGTTTGTTTTGAAAGTCTGCATTAGGGGCATTTCTCTCTCACTGAGCAATTATGAGTTAGTGTTTAATGACTCTATTGCCTTCCGAATCCTCTGTGAATAACAAGTCATAACATGACTTCTCACTACTGTCTGTTAGAACAGACACGCTCCCACCTGGGGATAAGTGGGTCCAACTCTCTGCAGAGCAGCAGGCCCCCAAGCAGCCATGGTAGGATGGGCTCATTACAGAGTTGCTTTCATCACCAAGAAGCTTCTTTTGTAAAGATGTTTTGCCTCTCCCTTGAACAAAGAGGTGAGAAATGACTTTGTGACCCTCAGAGTCCTGCGTAAACATTGGCAGGCCTACCTGGCTGTCCTCAATCCCTTTATCAGAATTGCAGGCGGCCTTGTTGATTTTCAAACAGAGCCCAGCAACAGATTGATTGCTACTCTTCAGAGGCTTCACTTCCATTGTACTCTGCTCTAGCTGAGGATTTATGTTCTCAGAGTCACAGGAGTGCATGAAGGAGCTATAACAAGAGGGTGGGCATCTGTGTCTTCTCGGAGTCTTGTTGTCCTTGCTTGTAACTGTCAGGCTTTGGCTGCTTCGAGGAAACAAAGTGGTATGTTTTTCTCTTTCCCAACCACTATTTTTCTCTCTCAAAGCCAAATCAGAAAGAGTTCTGTGAATAGGATCCCTTTTCTCCTCTAGCTGCTGAATGAAGTTTAATAACTGAGGATCTTTTCTCTCCGCAGCAGAGTCTCTTATTTCAGTTGAAAGGATGCAAGTGGTAGTCTGGGCTTCAGGAGGGGTAGAATTGCAAGGAGAAATGTGTAAACCTGGTGTTTGTTGGGTCCATCCTCCTCCTTCCTGAAGCATGTCAGCTGGCAACATGGTTTTTCCGCTCCTGAACAGTCCATGGTTGTTCACCTTGGAGGCACGGTTTGATGCAACAGCCAGCCTTCTGTTTGGATTGGTTTTCTTTTCCTCTGCAAAAAAACAACCCCAATCTGAATATAACCAGACAGATCAAACACACAGCCTGTACAAAAACTTTGGCAAATACAAATCAGCAGCCTTCCATGGGCAACTTTTTAAAAAATAGGTATCACATAATTGCTTCCATGACAAACTGCTCAACCCTTGCCTCTGAACAGATTAGTAACAGTACAAAACTACCAGTCCCTGTGGAATCACTAATGCCTCAAAGACTCAGAAGAACTACCCACGCCAGAGGAATCCACAAGGGCACCTTTCCTTGTCATGGGTTTCCGCTACCAGTTGTGGGGGGAGGCCCAGAACAGTGACTTATGCAAACAACTTACACATGGACTCCGACACATGTGAGTGGATGAGTATATAAGCAAAAGGTACTGCAGCTTTTCAGGAAAAGTGTGCCTTAGCCACCATAAGTTTGGGAAAGTTTGATGTAGCAGTCCCCCCCCCCCAAAAAAAAAGACACCACTGTTGATAACTGATAGAAGAAACATTAGAAGTGTTGTTATAGGCTCCCCCTTTTTGCAGATTTGTATCCTGGAAATGAAGGATCGTTGCATGCAAGGTCTATGTTTCAGTAGGTTTTAAGTTACTTTAAATTAAAAGAGCAGGAGATTTCTGGTGTTGCTGGATGGCCATGAGTGCAAGCAAGATTTTCCCTATTTAAATCAGGCATAGGCAAACTTGACCCTCCAGATGTTTTGGGACTACAACTCCCATCATCCCTGACCACTGGGCCTGTTAGCTAGGGATGGTGGGAGTTGTCCCAAAACATCTGGAGGGCCACGTTTGCCTATGCCTGATTTAAAAAGTTGACTCCTCTAAACTCACTCCACTGGCCCTAAGCAAGTCACTATTCTGCCTTTACCCACCCACCTTCCTGCAATATGAGGGCAATAGGTCTGATCAATATTCTGCCTAAAAGGAGGACTGTTCAAGGAACACCAAGAAGTTTGGTGCTGCACCATTGTTGCTGCCTGGCAAGTTAATCCTCAGACTGATGCCAGCAGACCACACTCTTATTTCCCCCCAGATCTCTGCAGCTCTCCCGTCATACCCTTTCATGGGACTGCAGTCAACAAAACAGCTGGTCTGTCCTTTTTGAGAAAAGTGAAGTGAAAGCAAAGTAGGGTCACTTTTTGCTGCTCTTCTCAATTACCTTTTCCCATCTGCCTCCGGTTCCTCATAGAATTTTTCAAGTGATTCTAAATTTGATGTAGAGTGGGCAGTTGCTACCTCCTCTCTGCACCCTTGTTTGCAGACAATGGAGAAGCAAAGCTTTTTAAAGGACATTGTGTGGTTTTGTATAGTGTTTACACAATGCAAGGTGCGATGGAAGTGTGAAATAATAAATCCTCTTACAGAAAGCATTGCAAATGTTGTGCAAGTTATTAAACCCTATACTTTCCTTTTCATTGCTGTTGGGATAATGTGCAAACTACTGCACCTTAAGCATTTTGGCCAGCCTTCGCCATGCTGGTGCCCTGCAGATGCTTTTGTATTTCAAGTCCCATCAGCCCCAGCCAACATGGCAGCAGGGTGACAAAGGCGAGTTTAAGCTTTCCACTCCATGAAAAAGAGTTTTGTAGTTGCACAGCAATAAAATTTTCTGAACAGAACACAGAGAAGTCTCCAAACCCCACAAAATAAAACACGATGATAGCAGTCTCAGTATAGTAATGGAGAGGTGGTCTACATTTAAGGAATGGTACAAGCATGTTGGAAAAGAGTACTTTTCCCTTCATAGGACAGCACATCTAAAGAGTTAAATATTTAGTCAAAAGTAGCATGGCTTGCATACCACTTATATGTGCCAATCCAGCTAGGACATGCGTGCCCATATCTATCCACCAGGCATACAGGTACGGAACACTAATCAGATATTTCACAATCAGTCGTGCATAAAAATGAATGAGATTGGATTTGGTCACTGTGCTCCCTGTCCCAAGAGGCTTGGCACTATTGATGTGTACCTGACCAGAGGCCAGGCACGCAGCTGGATCAGGTCAAAGTGTTTCTCTCCTCACAAAGTCCAGCCTTGGGGTATTTGACTGTAGTTCCAGCCTATACATTTTCACTCACGTGAGTAAAAATCACACCAAAATTTTAGAGATTTGTTTGGAATGGGGTTAAAATTTAAATAGGGGATCTAACCTAATTTGCTATAAAAACAGAAGGCACCCATTCAGCTGAACACCCAGTGCTCCGCTTCTTGTAAAGGGACCCCTGACCATTACGTCCAGTCGTGACAGACTCTGGGGTTGCGGCGCTCATCTCGCTTTATTGGCCGAGGGAGCCAGCGTACAGCTTTTGGGTCATGTGGCCAGCATGACTAAACTGCTTCTGGTGAACCAGAGCAGCGCACGGAAACGCCGTTTACCTTCCCGCCAGAGCAGTACTTGCACTTTGACATGCTTTCGAACTGCTGGGTTGGCAGGAGCAGGGACCGAGCAACGGGAGCTCACCCCATCGCAGGGATTCGAACCGCCGACCTTCTGATCGGCAAGCCCTAGGCTCTGTGGTTTAACCTACAGCACCACCCGCGTCCCTCTGCTTCTTGACAAATCCAATATTGTAAACAGAGGTGCTTCCATTTGTTTTCAGCATATGGAGCCAAGTGCAGCAGAAGCTCCACTGACACGTTGCTCATGTATAGGGTGCAAGCAGGTACAGTAAGGGTGGGAAAACACTCGTATCAGATCCTCAGAACTCTGCCCGGGACTTGCGTCTCCGTGGCCCTGCTTTGCACCCTTTAACTCTTAATGCCTCTTGCTTGCCTGGATGAAGAACTGAGAGGGCTGTATGCAGAAACTAGCCTACTGCACAAAAGGTATCGTTTACATTCATTGCTCAGCTCACTTTACCTCTGGCTCCTCCCACCCCTGGCATGTGGCCCTTGAAAAGTCCAATGAGGCACTCGGACTGAAAAAGGCTCCCTGGTGTAGAACAATGAATGCTTTAAGCCCTGCCGCCCGCCCACAAAATAATCATTGCATATGGTTGTGGAATCAGAAATCCCCATGCACAAACCCCTGCAGACAAGTAGGGGCTCTGCCCAATTGGGGCACTTGAATATTTGTCCCGATAGCATGTACCTGCTACTCATGAGTGGGAGCGCCTGCTTTGAGATTTTCTGCTCACACCACCACATGCAACTGGGTTATTTGCAGGGAGGGAAGAAACATGATGTCAGAGGCAGTGCTCGGAGTGCAGCTCCGCACCTTACTCTAGACATGAATATGGCTGCAGATTGATCTGGAAGAGGCTGGAGCCAGACTAGGAAACCCACATCCCTGCAGATGTTGCTGGATTCCCAGTTCCCACCAGCCCAAGGGTCAGGGATGTTGGGAATTGTAACCCAGCAACCTTCGTAGGGGCGGCACAAGTTCCCTAGCCCTGACCTTGAGTATTTTGAGCATCACATCCAGAATCCCAAGTTCCAGTTGCCCGGCTTCCTCCCATGACATGTTTTGGCTTTTGCCCTCAGCTAGAACACAAAACACCAACATACCTGCTTGTTGTGTGCTGAAGAAGGTGGAAATGGTGGTTTGCTTGGTGCACTGAAGAGGTGCTTTTGTTGGAAGAGGACAGTGCGAAAGTTGGTTCAATGTTCTTAATACTGGCTTAGCCATGAAGCTCTGGGTGGGAAAGCAGAAATTCTATGTCAGAATTCATCACCATGCAGGAATTCATCCCTTTGAATAGCAGTTGTTGGGAGTCACAGGTGGGGAGTGTTGCTGTCGCACTCAAGTTCTGCCTACAAGCAACCATGAAAACAAAGTGCTGGGCTAGATGAGCATTTGGCCTGATCCTGCAGGGTTCTTACGTTCTCATCCTTATTGTTCAGAACTGATTTATTCCCATAAATGTTAGTTCCATGGGAACAGGACTTGCACGTGGGCCCTGTGACAAAGTGTTGCAGCACCTATTTAGGGGTCCTTCCAACCAGTCATGGCCCTCCTCCAGGACAGTTTGTTCCAGGTTTGGGCAGGCCCTCAGGCCAGACAGCCTGCATGGTGTCTACCTCCTCACTGCACATTGCCCAATATTAAGTGATATCCCAAGTATACACAAACCACAAACTCACCAAGTAGTCTTAAAATTATCAGCTGGCACCCAGGAATGACAAAAAAAATTCTCCACCGTATGCAGATCTTAGAATGTGGAGTTATAAAAACATATTTTCAGGCTTGTTCCTCCATTACCTGTATTTTGCGTTTTTTAAGGGCTGATGTATCCAGCCAGACACCACAAGACTCGGGCTGCTTCTGCACTGGGCTTTTGGCCTTCTGTTTCATGAGCAGTTTGTCTTCTGTGCTCAGATGATGCAAGGCTTTCTGCAATCTAAGAAGAGAGAAGAGGCATGCATACTAAGTTATACCAGCCTCTGTGGCTGCAGAGGAATGGTTGAAAAGTATACACCTGCCTCAATAGCTTCAGGATTGAAATAGGCAAGGGATAAGGCCAGCCTATATTATTGTTTCAACACGTTGATACCATCTGCTTCCACACCCATCTCAGTGGTTGGTTGGATGCAACCTTCATGGTAAACAATTCTGCGCCTGACAATGAATGTGGAAAAGCAAACTTCCCAGGAGCTCAGCCCTCCCCGTTTTATCCTCATATGAACCCAGCCAGGTAGGTTAAGCCAAGAATATGACTAGCCCATGGTCTCCCACCAAGGTTCATGGCTAAGTGGCAATTTAAAACTCGCATCTCCCTATTCAGCTACTTAAAGAACCTGAGTGCCTGCTGGATCAGCGACATGTAAATTCCACAGCAGCCACCCCCAGCCCCAAAATGCTGCAGACCTCCCCACTACCTCTGTCAGTTGCTATTGACTGCCAAATCTTTTTAAAAACCTTTAATTGGTTTTATATTTTTTACAGCCTCCCACCTTTGAAGGGAAAGGCTTCTCTAACAGCAAACTCAGTTCCCCAAGCACTGACTCTTACGTTGCCACGCACATTCAGTGAAGCCCCTGTGGTGTAGTGGGAAGGGGGTTGGCCTGAGACCTATTCCCCACTCAGCCACGGAGCTCACTTGAGCCAGTCACTTCCTCTTAGCCTAGACCTATACCACGGAGGTGTAAAGATAAACTGGGGAGAGCCACATACACCACACGGAGCATTTTGGAGAAACAAGGCGGAGGTATTGGCGGGCTGAAGGAAACCCAGAGTTTTGCACACACAAACAGCTGAGGGCGAGAGGGAGGTTAGGAAGACCAAACTATCCCAGGAGAACTGAGCATGCTCAGTGGGCACTGAATGCTTCCTGGTAGAGGATGGCAGGCAACATTTTGACTTGCAACCTTTTTTAAAAAAATAAAATAAAATCCCCACCCTTCCTCCAAGGAGCTCAGAACAGCGAGCACAAAGTTCCCTCCTCGCCATTTCGTCCCGGGGAGGCTGAGAGAGAAGGAGCGGCCCAGGTTTTTCTCAGGGAGGGCGGGATTGCAATCTGCGTCTCGGAAGCACTACACCGCCCTGCCTCCCTCCCTTCGCCCCCCTTGCATTTGCAACAGCATTACCTGCATCCGAGGAAGCGCCAACAAGAGCCTCTCCCACCAGGAGACTTTGCGCTGCGGCCCGGACTTGCCCTGTTGCAAAGCGATTCCCAGAATTCAACGTTCCCGCGTCTCAAGCCCCGCCCTTCGCCCTAGGAAATGCCCAATAGCAGAGGAAGCAGGAACCTTGCCCCGCCCGCTAGCCTTGTTCCCGCCGCCTTGCCCCGCCCCCTTCTCGCTCTCTCTCAGCTCTCTCCCAGCGGGTCTTTGTGAATGTTTTGCGACATTCCGAGCTAGTCGTCTCTGTCCCCGCATCCCTCCCCACACTCTCTCCAACACACACACAGTCCCACCCTCTGCCTATTTACTTTGCAAGTAAGCCCAGGCCAACAGATGCAACAATTTTAATAGCTATAACCACGGAGATTACTCCCAGGGGTCCAAGACAACTCTCATTGTGCCAGAGATCTGGACAGACACACCAAATACGAAAGTGGCTGTGTAGTTCAGTTTCAAAAGTAATCCCACAAAGAGCCAGTGTGGTGTAGTTGTGAGAGTCAGATTAGGAATTGAGAGACCAGGTTCAAATCCCCACACTCAGCCATGAAGCTCACCAGGTGAACTTGGGTCAGTCACTACCTCTCAGCCTAACCTATCTCACAGGGATGTTGTGGGGATATAAATGCAATAAACAAATTAAAAAGTCAAAGCAGACGTGTTGATTCAGAAGGTGGAGCAAGGGGGGGCGGTACAGAATCCACAATTCATACTGGGGCAATCTCCCTGCATTAGGCCCACACATGACAGTCAATGAGTGTACAGCCTGTGTACGCAAATAGCTGAGCTGTACACTCCTATGTTATTCACATGTAGCCTTCGACGAGTGTAGTCTGTACCAGTGTACACAACAGACTGGGACAAATCAACTGAAAACATTATTTCCATATTTTAATATTTTGTTGGAAGCTGCCCAGTGTGGCTGGAAAAACCCAGCCAGATGGGCTGGGTATAAATAATAAATTATTATTATTATTATTATTGTTGTTGTTGTTGTTACTATTATTATTATTATCAGCTGGGAAAACATGAAGACAGGAAGCCCACATTTGGCCACAGTCTTAAGCCTAGACTGTGGGGCAGAAATTCAAAGGAGACTGTGTTAGGTACTGCACAGGTTTCGGGAAGCACCACCAAAGGCTGCTTTGAAAAAACACAACTTTCAAAAGCATTCATTCTTTATCAAACAAGCTTTACTTTTCATGATGTATGACACCAGTCTGTGCTGCGGATTTTATTTCCTGCATATTTTAGCATAGGTTTTGATTATATTTTACCACATTTCACACAGGACAGAGAAGGAAGTGCATAGCAGCACAAAGTTAAATGATGTAGGGACAACAGCCATCAACCTAGATGACTCTAAGGGGAATTAAGACAAATTCATGGAGGATAAGTGCAAGTAGATAAATAGGTACCGCTCTGGCGGGAAGCTAAATGGCGTTTCCATGCGCTGCTCTGGTTCGCCAGAAGCGGCTTAGTCATGCTGGCCACATGACCCGGAAGCTGTACGCTGGCTCCCCCAGCCAATGAAGCGAGATGAGCGCCGCAACCCCAGAGTCCGCAACTGGACCTAATGTCCAGGGTTCCCTTTACCTTTCTTAATACTATCAAAGGCTACCAGTCACAATGGGTATATATTATATTCTGTATTGGGGCAGGATATGCCTCTGGATCCCAATTGCTGGGGAACACAAGTGAGGAGAGCCATGCTGCCCTCATGTCCTTGCTTGTAGGGCTTCCCATGGACATCTGGTTGGCCAGTGGGGGGATGCTGGAGTAAATGGGTCCTCTGGTCTGATCCAGCAGGACTTGTCTTATGTTCTTAGAACGAGGGCTCCCAAGCTGGTCCCTGGAGCATCCATGGACTGAGAGCTTCTTTCTTCACTATCCGTAAAGTTGTGGAATTCCTTCCCCACAGAGGTGCTTTACAGCTTTCAGTGACTGCTGAAGACACACCCATTTACCCTGTCCTTAGATGTATGAGGTATGTTTCCAGGACCCACCCTATTCCTCTGACTGGAATTTGTTTTATCTATTTCTAAGGGTGGGTCATCATATCTCAAGGTGTACATTTTAATCCACATGTGTGTCCACTACCCACGTGTCTCCCTAGGGCCCAGGCACCCTCCCAAGGCAAAAAATACTATTTATTTGTTTAGCCAAAGCCATCACAAAAGATAGAACACTCCCAAGAAGTTTAGGATCTTTCTACTGGAGTTGTAATGAGCATCTGTTATGAGCATGTGTTTACCCTTAACCTTATGCCCACAAGAAGTTCACACACACCCTCCATGCACATTTGCGTACACACATATACAGGCTGGGAGCCTCAAGTGGGGCCCCTCACCCAGGGCAAAAAAAAAAAAAACTAGCTAGAAGCCACACACACACACACAAACACACAAACACACAAACACACCCCCATAGCTACAGCTTTTCTTGAAGCCTAAAAGAACACAAAGTCTGAGGTGAGAAACAGGTAATGAAGCTTAAGCTTTAGATGTTATAAGAATTTTAAGGTCTTAGATATGTAATAAATGTTAAAACTGTTAAGATAATCACTCAAATGCTTGATATCACCAGTTCTGCTTCAAAAACATCACGGCTTCCACCTCTCACCCTTTAAAACTATCTATTCTAAACTCTAAAAACCAATCTTTCCATCTTTCTGTACCAAAAAGCAAAGCTGGGCTAAATTTCAACCCATCACCATACACCAGAACTTAAGAATTACCATTACCCTCCAATGCTTGCAGATACATTGCCTTCCACGTAGCCATAAATTGGCAGAGTTGGAAGGGACCCTGGGGTCACCTAGTCCAACCGTCTAAATTACAGGGTTCACAGCAAGATTTGTACTATCAGAGAGACACACACATGTAAGTACAGACGTACAACTGGGAAATGCCCTATCATGCAAACACACATGTGTACTAAAGGAAAAAAGAAGGAAGGGGAAGATTAAAGTACCAACTTCATATAGAAGCCTTTAATAAACCTTAAGATAAACAGTTTTAAGAGGGAATTTACTTTCTTAAACGAAAGAGTCTAAGGGGTGCTTATAACGCATAAAATACCCACATTGGGCAAAGTTTCTAGAGAAGAGTTATAAAATAAAGAGTGAACAATTTCCTGAACTTGCATCGTAAGGGTAAGCCTACTATATAGGATAGGAGTAACTTAAGGGTTAAAATAAGCACACACAGAAAGTGAAAAGGGGTGAGAGTACCTTCCACACCAAAAGGAGTTCCTAGCAAACACTCCCCCCCCCCTTTGCAGTTTCCTCATGAAAGGAAGCTTACTTGGGAGTAAATTTACCTGTTAAGGCACAGAAGTAAGGGGGGGGGACTGAAAGAGACTGAAACGAGGGCGGGGGGCATTTTCCAAGAAAAGAGGTCAGGAAATCCTGGCTGACCTTACAGAGACTGATATTGGGAGTCAAAATGGTTTCAGGGAATCAAAATGGTTTCATGAGGTCTTCCTGTGCTGCTCCAGACATTGGTACATTTATGAACATTTATTATATATATATAACCTTAAAAGTCTATTACAGTACCAAGCAAACACGTACATAAATATATAAACCAAACCATGTCTGGAACTGCACAGGAAGACCGTCCTGAAACCATTTTGACTCCCGAACTGACCAAATGTTTTTTTCTGCAAGGAGGGAGGGGGTAAGGGAACCTTCCCATTGTCTCAGGAATTTGGTAATCACCATTTCAAAGGAAT